AAAATTGAAGAAAAAGATGTGTGAAGAAGAATTTGGGGAAGAAAAGAAGATGGAAGAAAGAAGTTGGGGAGAAGAGAAAAGAAAGAACAGAAGAGAGAAACCCAGGGGCATAACGGTCTGATAAGGTTAAAATTTAACGCCGTCAGTGTGATTTAAAGTGAGGGGGCGAGTGTGCAACGTTTTACAAACCACGAGTAGGTTTTTTGGAGTTTTAGGATCACGGGGGGTTTTCAGCAGATTCGGTAAACCACGGGGGGTTTTTTGCTGTTTTGCCCTGCAAGTATTTATAAGGGTGATGAATTGATTGGTTCCCCGGAGGGTTGAAAAATTGGAAAGTGATCCTTAACAATAGGACAAAAATTTATTTACCAAGTCAAAGTTTCCAAAAGTTCACAAAAGAGATCCTAAAACAAGTTTAATCTGGGACCATTTATCTTCTGTCCTGGAAAGTCGCCTGTTATTGGCGGCCGACTGATATTGCCTTATAAGTTGAGATCGGGCGTGAATCTGTAATTCCTGGTCCAGGTTGGCTGCATTGGTCTTGTACCGATCAATCAGGCATTGCTCGTTGTTGATATGGCCTTCCAGGACAGATTTTTCTTGATGAAGCGCCCTCAGTTCGGCTTTCTGTTGTTGGATTGATCCCTCTATTTGCGCCTTGGCATTATTCAGGACTTCTAGTCGGCCAATTGCCTGTTGAATGGATTCCTTGGTTTTGGTCAAGGAAGTCTCCAGATTTATTCGATCCAAATCAGGCAAGGGTGTCTCGGCCGTCAAAAGTTGAGCGAACAAAACTTCATTTCGGAGTTCTGATAGGCGCTCCATCAACTGGTGAAGAATGGAAGTAGCAGCCGACTCTGAAGACATGTGAAACAAAAGACCACCAATGGCTTGAAGGAGACTGTCAAGCAAGTCTGATCCCAGGTCGGGGAAAGGTTGGTCAACAGCCTGGGCAATTATAGCTCGGACGTCCGTCGGAATAGGGACAGCCGACAAGAGGGCTAGGTCGGAACATCCCTGGAGGGAAGGATGTTTATTTCAGACTGAATTGAGCATAAATGTCAAGAATCAATTGTGAAGGTTGTATGTACCTCTGGACGGATAGTGGTCACTGAAGGTGCCAGAATAGTCATAAGTCTGGAAGGCTGGGCGGCTGGTACTGCGATGGCCGACTCGTCGGCTGCTTCAAGTGGACGTTGTGGTATGGATCAGGATCCCTGAATGATGGGGATATAATGATTTAAGGATCATGTGAATATTAGCTTATATTTTGAAAGAGGGAATCGCAAATCTCTACCAGATTAACAGAGGTCTCTGATTCGGAGGGAATCTCTTGTAACTCCCGTAAGAGTCCCCTTGGTTGAACAGGCATAGGTTCGTCTGCCTGTCCGTCCGCTTCTGGAAGAGGGTCTGCTACCTTTGGGTCGGCTTCCTTCAGGTCTGCTGCCCTCGCGTCTGCTACCCTTGGGTAGGCTGCCTCCAGGTCGGCTGCCCTCACTTCGGCTGTTCCTTGGTCGGGTGCTTCTGGGGCGGCCGCAGTTGAATGGCCACATCAGGGATGTTTCGGTCCTTTGAAGCGACCATATCAGAGGCGTCTGCAGTAGAGGTGGATGCAGGTGTGGCCATTGGCGCTGTAGGAGGCAGAGACGGGTCTGAAGCTACATAAGGTAATCTACCCATCTCTGAAGCAGTCGCCTCACTCAGGGATGAGACCCTTGTTGTTGCACGTTCGGCGGATGAAGGCGTTTTCTTCGAGGCCCGGCGTTTGGTCGGGGGTTCAGGTTCGTGGAGTTGGTCGGTTGGTGGCGTTGTTGCCTTATTTGATCTGGAAGCAGGTTGGGCGGTCGCTCTGACTGAAGTCAGACCTGAATATAAAAATAAGGATTAATACTGAGGAAAGGATCAAGTTAAGTTGACAATATGAGATTATACCTGGACGAGGTCGGGTCTTTATAGTGGCCCGACCTGATGGGCGGTTGATTAAGGTCGGTTGATTGTCTCTAGAGAGGGGAATAGCTTGAGTCTGAGAGGCTTTTCTTTTCCTCTGTGGAGTGCCCGACCCAGTGCCCTGAGTAATTAATTTCCTTCGGACATTAGTTAGTGGGGTCGTCCCTAATATCAGCGCAGGTTGGGGAAGAAGGATGCCCAGCAGACGATCCTTGTCAGAAGCAATTAGGGCCCAGGTGACCAACCACCACTCGCGAAAGGTTTCAATTGAAGCTGGAGAAGTTTTGAAAGGGATACAGGAGTTGGAAGTTATGTAATTAGTGAGTTGGGATACGTACGGGGCAATCAAATCAGGAATGGCTCTACCATCCGGACTTTGAATTATTAAATGTGGATGAGCAATGGGACCAGGTAAGCCTTGTTGGCATCCGAATTGACGTGCCAAAAATTGAGGCTGGTAGCTGAAGGTATAAAAAACTTTGGGACCTTTCTTATCAATCTTCTTACTAGTAAATAAGGACCTGGGTTTAAGAGCAACATCCCAAGAGAAAGAGTAAGTTGGATGTGGAAGTGGGTCTGGTTCGGACAAAGGCGAGGATACAGGGAATGGCCAAAACAGGCCGGATGCATAACCAATGTACCTTCTATGTATGTAGAAATGGGTGTTATTTCGATTATCAGCAAGAATGGCAGTTATGATCGGCTCAAATGCTTGGATGTTATTACGACCTAAGCAAAGTCGGTTAAGGGTTACTCCTAGAGATTTCTCAAGTGTGGGGGTAATGGGAGGATGACCAAGTTGGAAAGCATCGGGAAAATAGAGACGGAACCATAGTTCTAGGAACCAAAAGGACCCGACGCAGCAGTGTCTAATTTTTTACCATCCTTTTCTGTAAGGCGGGTGCTAACCCTAGATAATCCTTCAAAAAGATTGGCAAGGAAAAGAGTGCCCAAAGAGATTAAACGACCAGAAGCTATATGTATGACTAAGTCAAGATGAGAGGGAATGACACATTTCGAAGGAGAAGCTACAACATACTTACAGAGCCAAAAGAGCAGGAAAGTTGTGTGCTCCCGGTCGGTAACAGGGGTCCCGTCTGCTCCTTGTTGATCATTTAAAAATTTGGTCCAGTCCTATTCCTTCACGTCTGTCAAAGACCAGCCCAAGAGGTCTGCATTGGGCTCTTGCCCATCTAGGGCACCCATTACAGGGTCTTCCCCTACGATTGGCAGATGGGCGATCATGGCCACATCCATGATGGTGGGGCCGATGGGGGCTGTAGGAAGCAAAAAGGCGCACACCTCGGGATGCCAGAATGCTGCCATTGCTAAAAGAACTTTTTCATGCAAATGGCATGGGAGTGTAGATAGACGTATGGCCTGGTTGATCTGTTGAGTTTTCCATTGACCTTGGAAATGTTCTGCTACTCTTTGGTACCAGGTGCGATATGGATCCTTGGGGTCTGTCAAATGAGTCTTGATGTTGTCATGGAGACGGCTTGCGTTGTAGTTGGGGTCGTTGATAGCCGGTAGCTTTCTTGCCTCCAAGACTTCTTTCATTCGGTTGGAGTCTTCAGGGGTAGTGCAGTAGGGGCGAATGGTTAGAGTAAGCATTTTCGTCGACACGAGAGTGGTTTCATGGATTGATCCGTCGAAGGGGAGTGCAGGGATGTATTGATTCGCCATGGTTTGGAGTTGCAGAAATTGCAATTAACATGAGTAGTTTTGAAGAAAGGGGGAGTGTTGCGAAAAACTGATTGCAGTTGCAGAGGCAATTCCTCAGTGGGGTTGTGGTTTATGAACTTTCAAACGGCGATTGAGAGATGGCGTTTGAAAGTCCCTTGGCGGCGGGCAAGTTGTTACGCATGAAATTTAGAATTAGGTTAAAAAGCCCAAGGGAAAAAGAAAAATGGGCCTAACAGTCGAGATGATCGAGCTGGTCGAAGGGCATTGCGGGGAACTCAGGTAAAATAGATGCATTTCTAAAGAAATAGCGGGTCGGAAGGTCCACAAGTCGGAGGGTCCGCAGGTCGGAAAGTCCGCATGTCGGAAGGTCCGCAGGTCGGGAGGTCCGCAAGTCGGAAGGTTCGTAGTTCGGAAAGTCCGCAGGTCGGAAAGTCCGCAGGTCGAAAGGTCCGCAGGTCGGAAGGTCCGTAGGTCGGGAGGTTTGCGGCTGGACCAAACAAGTCGAATGGTCTATAAGTCGGGAGGTTTGCGGTTGGACCAAACAAGTCGATTGGTCTATAAGTCGGGAGGTTTGCGGCTGGACCAAACAAGTCGGATGGTCTATAAGTCGGGAGGTTTGCGGCTGGACCAAACAAGTCGGGTGGTCTGCAAGTCGGGAGGTTGGCAGTCGGACCAGCAAGGCGGAAGATTTGCGGTCGGACCAACAGAGCGGAAGAGTTGCGTTCGGGCCAAAATGGCGAAAAGTCTGTGGTCGGTCCAAAGAGTCGGATACTGTTGAGAGTGATAATTTCAGTCGGCTGAGGGCACGTGTCAGCAGGAGAGGGGTTAGCAGACGGTTGAAAAGAAGCATTATAATCGTTCGGGCGACAGTTTCAAATACCGTTTCTGAAGAGTATTTAAGGATTAAAATTTGCAATCTTCAATCAACTTCAACAAAAGCAAAGTCAGATTCGGAATCACCACTTTAAATTTCTAGCATTTTAATTTCCAGTTAATTTTTTATGTACGGTACATAATCTCAAGCACTAATTAATCAAATTTAAAATATTTTCATATTTTGAATTTTACTTTTTGCTTATTGAAAAAATACGTGAACAAAAAGAATTTCAATTTCCTATTCTAACAAAGCCATGGGCTCTCTCTGCCTAGCCTAATATATAACCATTCTATCACTACGAAGCAATACGAACTCAAGAGAGTACATGAACACAATTTAGGCCTGATCTTGATAAGATGCGTGTAAAGAAGCTAGAGTCAATTGACAATGAAATGCAGTCTCAAAATGAAGGATGAAATTTCAGGCCTGATAAATTAATTTTTAACGAAAGCATAGACAGGGTACATATCGATCGAGTATATATACCTACCTTATGCAGTAAAAAGGATTCTCCGTCCACGAAAATTGTGATGTCGCCAGCAACATCTGAGAAAATCCTGCATAAGATGAACAGAACAGAACAGAAAGCAAAAATGAGGAAATAGCGTGTAGTGTAAGAGACAGGATGGATGGAAGATCTAGCAACATGCAAAAGGCGCGTGGTAGTGTGCCGTGTGCGTGAGTTTAAGAGTAGCATACCATACCGGTTAGCAAAGGAGGTAGAGAACTTGGGAGTGCGGGTGGCGGAAGGATGCTGGTGGTGTGGGGTGAAGGAGGGTAGGGATGGCTCCCAAACCATTGATTGATTCTACTCTGCTCTGCTCTGCTGATGCACCTAGCTCTATTATCAAAGAATATACTTATATGATTTATGATATGATATCAGGCGAAACAAGTAGCCCAACTGCCAGCCGTAATACCAGAAAACAGTACCAATTAGCTAGCTAGCAAGCAAGCCAGAAATGCATGATGCATGGATGTATGAAGAAGAAGAAGAAAGAAAGAAAGAAGCAAAGGCAGCAAGCGAACAAGCACACGTTTGTGTAGCCGGAGTCGGTCAAAAAAATAGGAAATAAAAATAAATAAAAAAGTGTTCCAACCAGCAGCAGTGCAACACAATGCAAAAGAAGGAAGGCAAAAGGACAGATCCATCAGCTGGAAAGTATGCAGTTCAAAGGACTGAATGAATGAAGGGAACGTGTTGAGGAAGGCACAGTCGCCAGTCGAACTCGAACGTCCATCCGTTCTCAGTCCTCACTCACGTGGTAGTATGATTTGTAAAGGAGGAGAAGGTATGTTTTTGTCCGGTGGTTTAGCTGTTGAACGAGTTGCTCATTGTTGTTTTAGGATTGGATACTTGTCGACCTCATCAAAAACTTTGGTGGTTATCTGATGATTATCAGATTGTAGGTAGGTTCGTATCATATGGTATATGTTTGACTGAGACTGGAATTGGAATTGGGATTGGGATTAGGACCGGGGTGGGGATAAAGGAAGGACTAGCTTTTAATTAAGATCGAAGATTGGCGGGTGGTTTTGCTTTGGTAATGGTGGAGAATGGAGATATTGAAATCATTGGGCGCCTAAACAAAGCAAAGCCACTTTGTTTGTGTGGATGCTGGCTGGGGCTGGTGGGTTCGTTTGATTTGGTTATCTTCTTCAAACTCCACCACTTTCACCCACTTTCATGGTGATTGAGTGATTGCTTTAGTTAATTTTTCAGAAATCAATGCCCGCAAGAAAGGAGAGGAAGGGAAAGACGATGACTCAGTATAGTATAGGATTGTATTGTATTGCTTCGAGGAGTAGGCCCCGCCCCCGCTCCCGCTCCCGCTCCAGCCCCAACCCTCACTCTCGCTTCACTTCACTTCACAGATCACAGTCTCGCCCGCCGCGGGGCATGGCATGGCATGGCATTGCATTGCATTGGGTTTTGGAGGAATCTCAGCAGCTTTTGTCTCTCTCCCCGCTACCGCCTTTACTTTATACTTTGCTTTCAGTCAGTCGAGAGGTCCCAGAGCCCAGAAATACTACCTACCTACCTCTCTCTCCATCTATTTCTCTCTCTCTCTCTCTCTCTCTCTCTCTCTCTCTCTCTCTTTATATATATATATATATATTAATTCCCATCGTTCCTCCTTTCCTTTGTCGGTCAAGAACTCAACTAGAATAAAATAATGCTAGTATGTGGGTGGGCGGGAGGGTGGATACTACGAACTTACCAAGACAGACATGCAAGATCTAAAAGTATCTGAATTTGAATCTATTCATGATTATACGCTCGCGAATTCACTCCAACCTTGGCTGGCGGCCATCACTTTAAGACACTTGTTTGTATTGTTTCTGATGTCGAAATACAGTGATAAATATGGGCCTTTGAGGTAGGGCCGTTGGTTATGTTTTACTTATTCATGGAGGACTGGACTGGATCTCTTATATCGGTAGCTAGCTGACCTCACCATTGGGGTCATTTTCTTCTCTCTCTTTTTCTTCTTCTTATTCACAATATCACTTGCATACATGTGTGTGTATAATAGTGCAATTGGGTGTACAAGTTGAAACATATATATATGAATTGAATTAATCCTCGGTTATGTTTGTGTAGGTGATCGATCATGTCCATATGTCCATGTCGTCCCAACTACAAGTAATAAGAAATGCTCATTTAACAACCCCCGATTGAATGCTTCCACAATCCTAAATGCACATATATATATATATATAAATATATACACACACATCGCATCAGAGTCAACCATACATATCTGTCAACTCATTCCTACTTTGTGTGTGAAACAACGAATTCTCTTAACACACACACACGCACACACCTGCATAGATGATGCATGCATACATACTTACATAATCAATAACCAGCCATATGAATGACGTACGAGACGAGGATGTCGAGCTATTATATGATTGTTTTCCCGACTGTCTTGTTTAATTAATTAGTACGCCAAAGTGCATCCTACCTCATTAACTTACTTGTCTGCTTATTTGTTTATGAATTCCCTCAGCTAGCCTAGCTAATTATACTATTCTATTATATTATATTTACAAGTAGCAGCAGACAACTTCATCCCTTCCCGTTGACATATATACCTGACAGCGTCCTTTACCGAATGCTTAACTTTGATTTGCTCTGATTCTCACAACTTCCTGACTGCTTCTTCCCTCCTCATTTTGCACTATGATAATAACTGCTCCTTGCTTTGCAAGTAGCAATCCCACTTGCAGTATTTCTATTTGGATTTGGATTTGGATTTGTATTTGTATCTGTAGTTGTATGCATTGTTGAAAACTACTATAGATCATTTGGAGATTGTCGTCTCTGCAGGCGAGCACCACTGTTTGTGTTTGTAATACTCTACTGCCCCAAGCCAACTACTGTCTTGTTGCAGATCCAGATGGCTATTTGCCTTGTTCTTGGAGTACTTGTTGGGCACTTGTTATGGTCTTCTGCTCCCGTTGCATATGCACAAGAACTACTTGTCACTCACCGCCAAGAAAGTAATTTTCTCTCTCCTCAAGTCACAAAATTTGCTCTTTCAAAACTTCTCCTAATCTCCTCCTCCTTCTGCAGAGCAGTTGCATAAACATATAGCAATCTACTGACACAGCTACCTAGCTAGCGCACCATCTTGTTTTCTTTTTCTTATTCTTTTCTCTTATAAGCAAAACACATGCATGATTGATTGCATTATTTGCAGAGGAAGCGTTACTTGATGTTAGGAGGAAATTGTCGGATCCCTACAAGAAACTCAACTGGACCAAGAAGAGTGATCCTTGCTCCTCCCACTGGAGTGGTGTGATATGTACCTTAGATATTACTGATGGCTACTCTCATGTCCTAGAACTGTATGTGTGCTTCATGCTTCACATTTTCTTTATCCGGAGAATGCCTTATGTATATATCAAAAAGATGGCCAATCAAACTTATTTTATTTCTCGATTCAATAGAAGCTTAGGTTACGAGTAGTAAATTCCCCGCTTTCTGAGAATTTCTCTACTCTCTACTTTGATATATATATATATATATGACTCTCTTCTGGACATGCAGGCGCTTGCTTCGATTTAACCTTTCCGGGACATTGTCTCCAAAGCTTGGCCAGCTACCTTACATGAAAAGACTGTTAGTTATCAGTAATTTTGTATCTCTAGTTGTGCTTGATATATCTTCTGTTTGGTATATGGAAGTTACTACACTTATCATGCTGCTACTTTACAGGGACTTCATGTGGAATGACATAAGTGGAAGCATACCAAAGGAGATTGGCAAAATTACTGCTCTTGAGCTCCTGTATGCTGAGGCTAAGATCTAGTTTGCATTTGAATTCCTGTTCATTTTCAAAATGATGCAAACACAAACCAATGAATAAAATAACTAATTTATAGCAAATTTTACTATATATATTTAAGAAACATACTTTTATTTCTCATCATTTTTATGACCTATCAACAATAACAGTTTTAATTTGTCCTCCTACTTAAAAGACCATGCATATTATATTGTGCGGTAGGCTATGAGAAGCGGAAGCAGAAGGTGGTAGCTCATACAACTAATTGTTGCATGCATTGATTACAGGCTTCTCAGTGGAAATCAATTAACAGGACCCTTGCCAGATGAACTTGGCAACCTTCCCAATTTAAGCAAGTTTCAGTTAGATCTTAACATGATTTCGGGGCCAATCCCCACATCATTTGCAAGGTTACCACGGGTAGTGCATTTGTGAGTATTCCATTCTATTGGTCTATGTATGTGCTTGTAGAGACAAGCCATGAAAGTTCCAAAAGGAAGGCGGCCCTAGCTCTAAAGTAGTTACTTCTAGCAGACTAGCTAGCTCGTTACTTGTTAATTTGATTGATTGATTAATTCCTAATATAATGCATGTAGCCACATGAACAACAACAGATTCAGCGGCCAGCTTCCTCCAGAGCTCTCTAACCTTACTATGCTTAAACACTTGTAAGTGGCCTCTTAATCAATCAATAAATTCATTTGGTATATATGCAGCTGCAGATGATATCTTACTTAATTCTCATGTCTACTTGAGTCTTACTCATTGGGAACTTTTGACGTTGGCAGTCTTCTGGATAATAACAACCTCTCTGGTTATCTTCCTCCAGAGTTTTCCCTGATGCCAAACCTGACAATTCTGTATGTGTAACCGCTTTGTTGGATTTTTAGTCAGCTAGCTCAATTACTGAACAATCTTTTCTGAGTCACTTCTATCTATTAATTGATGGGATCAATTGTGTCCCCCAACTATTAATCTTTTCAGCCAACTAGATAACAACAACTTTGCTGGGACTGTGATTCCAGATTCTTATGCTCAGATGTCCAAGCTTGTTAAGCTGTATGTCCTGCTCTCTTTATTTTCCTTATAAACAATGAGCTTCAATTATTTGATTAAAACTGCATGTGGGGCAGAATTCATGGTGGTATTTATACATATATCTTTCATTTATGTGGAAATCTATTCTTTAGTAGTGAAAAATAGAGTGTAGATTACTGCAAGATATATATATATATATCTTCATGGACCAGCACAACACTATCTAGGTCATTTAATTTCATTTCATTTGGCAGGAGTCTCAGGAACTGCAGCCTGCAGGGCACTGTCCCGGATCTAAGTAAACTTCCCCGCCTTCTTTATGTGTAAGTCAGGAATTTCCTCCATGTCTGAGATTATTGCTTTCGAGTTTGAATAGCAACATGCATGTAGATGTAGCTCTATCATGAAAATGCAGAGAGGAAAGCTTGTGTTGTGTTGTGCAGTGCTGTGACTATGATGCTTATTAGATTTGTACTACTGTTTCTGTCTGTCTCTGACAGTCTTATTATTCAACCACTACCAGCAAAATATAATGCTTATCCCTGGTGACCGATCATCTTACAGGGATCTCAGCATGAATGGCCTTACAGGAGGGATAACCTCGAATAGACTATCTGAAAACATCACAACCATGTACGTAATTTCTGAGTTGTAAAATCTCTTCATTCTCTTGGTTGCATTCTCTCATATCCTACACATAACTAATTGCAGTATCCTGTCGCACAATCAGCTCAACGGATCCATTCCATCCAACTTCTCCGGCTTCTCTGGTCTCCAGACATTGTCAGGAAACTATTGCCTTCTATGAGTTTTGCATGTTATTGTTTCTGAATCATTATTATGTTTCCAGCTGTTCTTCATGCCTCTGAAGGGTGTTGTCAACTTTGCTGTAGGCTCCTGGACAATAACTGGTTAAGTGGATCTGTACCGTCTACGATTTGGGAGAAGGTTAACTTCACTGCGGGAGACAGAAGACTTAATATGTAAGGCATGGATGGATACATTAGATATGTTCATAATTAATACTCCTATCCCATGCGAGCGAAGGATTTTTTGCATTTATATGTCCTTGGGATGGGGTTGTACCGTACGTAATGCGGTATGTCTATCCCCCATAGAAGTAGCTAGAATATCACACTACTGAACTGACTGACCGCTTCACGGACCATTTGGTGTCTTTACCAAAGTCAAGGTTCCAGCTGCATGGTGTTTTTCAATCTATAGCAGTCGTAGTCGTAGATGATGACGATGATGATATCGTAGTTGCAGCAGCGAACTTAATCAAAAAGTATTTGTCTGTTGCTTGCAGAAGTTTGGAAGGTAATTTTCTTTCTGACATTTCAGGGATCCTTGATGTTCCTCCAAATGTGACATTAAGGTAAGCATAAATGGAACTTTAATTGTTGTCTATATGTATACATATATCAGATGGAAGTATTCTTATGGCCATTGCCACGCTTGACTCTGTTTTTTCAAGGCTACAAGGAAACCCTGTCTGCGACAATGCGACTCAAAGAAACATAAGCCAGTTTTGTGGATCTGGAAATGGAAATGCAGAGGGAAATGGAGAAGCCCCTCCTAACAAGACAGAGTCAAGTTGCAAGATTCAATCTTGCGCGCTTGAGAATGGTTACGCATACGTCCCAAATCTACCCCCCGGCACATGCTTTTGCGCAGCACCTTTCGGAGTTGAAGTGCGACTTAGAAGCCCTAGCATCTCAGACTTCCCTCCATACCGCCAAGATTTTGACAAGTACGTGACAAGGAACATACATCCAGACTCAAATCACCCAAATGATTCCTTGTCCGAAACCCAAGTTTATGTTGATTGGCTTCGGTGGGAAGAAGGTCCAAGACTACGGATGTCTCTGCTCTATTTTCCTGAGTATTCGGGTCCCAACGCTTCCAAAACATTTAACTCGGTCGAGGTTAATGCACTGAGAGAGGTGTTTGCTCAATTCAAGCTGCCCCCCAATGACGTTTTTGGTCCTTACGATCTCCTCAACTTCACTGCAGGATTTTATACAAATGGTATGTATTGTATTGATTGGATTAATCATATATATGCCGGTGGGATGAAATGTCGATTCACTGATCTGATCAGACTTCACACAGCACTCGCTCCTTCCTATCCTATCCTATCCAACTCATGATTAAATTAATTAATTGATGGATGCAGTGGTACCTCCATTCTGGAGCAGTGGCAGAGGTCTAAACAAAGGTGCATTGGCTGGCATTGTACTCGGCTCTATATCCTGCGCAGTTGCTGTTGTTGCTCTTCTACTTCTTCTTTACATGCGAAAACTGCAACGAAATTCTAGAGCTGAAGCTGTTCAAAATCAGTCACGTAAGTACTCGGTTAAGCTAATCAGTCACCTCCACTGGTAGATTTCTGGCTTCGTACTTGAGTCACAGACGCATTCATTTCTGACATCTATTGACACATTAAACTCTACTTATATCAACCAATCTTTCCTTGAACTGCACTGAACTGAACTCTACTATTGATGAATGAATGAATCTAAATTAGCACTTACAATATCTATTTCCGCAGCATCCAAAAATCGAAATGAAAATGAATCTTTATCTTTTGATAATCATGATAATGAATGCATTACGATACATCACATATTTTACAGCAGTAGCAGCACAGATGTAAGTGTGTTTGTTTATGCAGTCCCAAAAGTTGCAATGAAAATGGATGGAGTGAAGGCATTCGGTTTTGAGGAATTAGAAAGGGCAACAAATAGTTTCAGCGATGGCACCCAGATTGGTCAAGGAGGATATGGTAAAGTGTACAAAGGAACTTTGGGAGACGGTATAGTCGTGGCGATAAAGCGTGCACAACAAGGGTCGCTACAGGGAGACAAAGAGTTCTACACGGAGATTGAAATGCTTTCACGCCTGCATCATCGTAATTTGGTTTCCCTGGTTGGGTTTTGTGATGAGAAGGACGAACAGGTATGCAGTATGTTATGCAGTCTCACCATGACAAGACATGGCATGACATGACTGTTCTCTATTATTATGATCATTACTACTTATTATTATTGTTCTTTCTATATGCCCCCATGCCATGCCTACTGATCCACCCTATCTCTACTTCTTATGCTTCTTCGCAGATGTTAGTTTACGAGTTCATGCCCAATGGCTCAGTACATGACCTCCTATCTGGTAATTAATTAATATGAGCTGTTGAATGCCATTCCTTGATACAATGCAATCCTCACTCTAGCCAGTTTATCATATCAACTTATCGCCTTGTGATCACTCCTTACAAACAAACAGCTAAATTTAGAGCACCTGCCAACTTGGAGAAAAGATTGCACATTGCTTTAGGTGCTGCCAGAGGCATTCTGTACCTGCATACAGAAGCTGACCCGCCAATCATTCATCGCGACATCAAAGCAAATAACATACTTTTGGATTCCAAATGGACTGCCAAAGTGTCTGACTTTGGGATCTCAAGGCTTGCGCCGATACCAGATGCAAAGGGAGTCAGCACAGAACATGTATCCACCAATGTGAAAGGAACACCGGTAAGGCAAACTTGACTTGTGTTAGTTTTTTGAAGAAGACAGGAAAACCAGGAAGCCTTAGCCTTTCTCTACACCCTCATTTTTACATGGGCGAGTTACAGGGCTATGTTGATCCGGAATACTTCTTGACACACAAGCTGACGGAGAAAAGCGACGTGTACAGCCTTGGGATTGTGCTTCTGGAGCTCCTGACGGGAATGCAGCCTATATATCAGGGAAGGAACATTGTCAGAGAGGTAAGCGAACGTTGTTATTTACGGTATGATATGATATGATATAATATGGAAGCGACTAGAAGAAGAGAGATTGTTTGTTGTCCCACTCCATTCCATTCCATTCCATTCATATCGTATCATATGATATCAGGTGAACACTGCATGTCAATCCGGGATGATGCTCTCCGTCATAGACAGGAGTATGGGGCCCTACCCATCTGAGTGCGTTAAGAGACTCATGGCCTTGGCCCTCAGGTGCTCCTTGGATGAAACCAAAAATAGGCCCTCCATGTTGGAGGTGGTACGGGAGCTCGAGAATGTATCATCCATGCTTCCCAACTCCAACGCTGCTCCGCCTGACAACAATACAGGGACCTCCATCGACTCGGTGCCATCATCCGCTCTGTATGATGGTGGCGGACGAAGCACCTATGCCACCATGGATCTCCCTGGAAGCAACCTCGTTAGCGGCGTCATTCATACCATCAAGCCTCGTTAGATGGTAAAATAATACCATATCTTACCCGTGAATGTGAATGTGAATGTGAATGTGAATGTGGATGTGGATGTGAATGTGAATATGAGCGTAATTGTGATTGTGTGACAGTGACAGATTTATCACTGTTTGCATAGAGCATTTCTAAGAATAACAACATATAAAATCAACCAATTAAGGCCTGCTGCTGTTGGCTGGTCATCACATCCATCACGTGATGATTCGATCCCATCCCATGTGTTTGAATAGTTAAGTATATCAAAACAATGGGCAAACTTGATCATTAAACTTTGCTTCAAATGCATCTATGATTCTCAACTATTGCATTGTCGTGGTAGTTAGCCAAACTCGCCCTTAGCACAAACATGCATACAGCTTCAACTTCCAAGACTTTAAAAATCTTCCGTTGCCCCTTAGAATGAACACTCCGCTTCAAGTGCCAAAATTGCATGAATCTTCTATTCTTATTATAGCTAGAATGGTTTTAGTAAGTTGTCTGCGTCGTGTTCGTCCACACCCTGAATCTTATATTTTAAAACTGCATGAATCTTCTATTCTTCTTATAGCTAGAATGGTTTTAAAGTTGTCTGCACACCCTGAATCTTATTTTGTTCACATGATTTGCCCAGTTTTGCATATGGGTCGAGAGCCTAGCCTCGCCTCCGGGTTAGTTTGAAACTACACCACAAGTCTTGAGAAGCTTTTTTAAATTAAAAGCACACCAACAAACAACTCGCTGACTTGCAATAATATAAACAGGGTGGGAGAAGAATATGATACAAGCGAATCATGTCTGCCATCATCAGCCTGGCCTGCTCAAAGCATGAAATTACAAAACAATAGAGGAGCACCAGCAAGCTGTGCATAGGCTGTCCTACCTTGAGAATCTCTATCTATTTGCATTTAATATCATATAATTAAATATGTCAAGAGCAATTCTGATACAAATTCCATCAACACGAAGGCAAAACTAAAATTGCCCATGGCTGGAGGAGACAAAATAGCACAAACTAACAGCAGTGCTCCAAAATTTCCTTCAGTATCTTGATGTTCCGGACCCTTCAAACAAAAATCTTAGATCTTCAACCGTCAGCCGAGTTGCATGCCCACCACTTTGATCTTCACCAAAAGCTGATGCAACCATTTTCCTCTTCTCTTCCTGCATATTATTGTAGACAGTTAAATTCAAGAAGATGAAGGCAAATCTTTTGAATAATCAATCAATAGTGTGATTAAGGGGGCAGCATGCCTCACCAAATGTAGTAACAATCTGTGAACTAAACATTAAATAGTAGGTCAGGAACACAACCTTGAACCATAAGGTGTTCGGGACTATGAATTTGTATCTACTATAAAAATAGATAAATAAACAAAATTAACCATCATCATAATATTAACATAATGTAAGTAGCGTGTAATGTAACTAACAATGTAAATTGGGACCAACTTAAATTGTTCATCAATTCACATTCTGTGAACAAGGCAAGGCGATGGTATGCTTTAATTCATCTCCTCATATAAGAGTATGTTAGTTAACATGTATCACCTGCATCACTGGATGGTTTGGATCTTTATATAGCAGTCAGAAAGGGTATTAGAGAATGCATTAAACATTGTGTTTGTTTGGGGGTTTTGGATTTTGGGTTAGGGGTTGAATAGTAAAAATTTTAAATTTCAATAGTTGTATGATGTGCTATAAGTGATAATGTGATGTTTTGAATGTAAAATTAATCTTTAATATAGTATAAAAAATAAAAAATAGATGTTTGATTTGATTTTATTTTTTTTTAGGGTAATTTGGTGAATACTAGAAATTAAGGTAAAAAGAAAATTTTTTGGTGGTGGTGGTGGGGGGAGGGTAATTTCATGAAAACAGAAGAAGCAAGTCTATTTGTTGAAACAACTTCAAGAGCTATAATTTGGCAACATTGGTCAAATGACACTGTTTTGTGTTAATCTGGTAGATTGCCTAACTAGTCTTTCGCAAGAAAACCAAGCACATTGAGATTTACCATTTCTTCTGCAAAAAGATTTCATCTAAATGTCCCACTACCATCTAATGAATATCTTTATAATGCCTCTTAAACAACCTAGAATGGATTAAATTTGTAATAAGCCAAGTGTCTATAATGATTATGCTATAATTTTTATTAATTTGTGTTTAGAGAGGTAACATAGTATTAGTAATGTAAATATGGTAATATGGTATGGTATCCTTTGTAAATGAGATAATGCCATAGTACCTGAAGAGCCAAGATGCGATCTTCAACAGTGTTTTTGATGGTTAACCTTGATACAGTAACAGGTCGTGTCTGCCCTATTCTGTGAGCCCGATCAATAGCCTGATCTTCTGTAGTGGGATTCCACCATAGATCCAAAAGGATTATGCGGCAAGCAGCAACCATATTCAGGCCCAGATTTCCAGCTTTTAGAGACATTAACATGACATCAACCTGAAAATCCTTATGTTAAAACTGGAAATATGAATGAACCACAAGGCACATGTAAACATTTTCCCAGAAGTTAAGAGCATCCAAAAAGGTAGCAGCAAGTGTTCATTAAAGAAGCTACAGCACGGAATACTGATGACCTAACACACAACTGATAAACAATAATTAAAATATGAAGACGCCAGAAAACCAATCAAATAAAATTATCTTAAATATAAGACGATAATTAAAATACACCAGACTGCAACCTCAGGATCAGAGTTAAAATCTTTGACAGCTTTGTCTCTGGCAGCTATTGACATAGTACCATCAAGCCTCCGATAACTGATATGGGAATTCCTGAGAGACATCTCCACCAAATCCAACATGCAAGTCCACTGGGAAAATACAATAGCCTTCTCAGATTGTCTATTATCGCAGTTTAACTCAAGATCACTAGTACATGAAGCATCCTCATCAAATCTGACCACATCCCCCAATTTCACTTTGTGTTTTTTTGATATGCAATGTAATTTGAGAATTTCAAGAGCACATTTGATTTTAGAGGATATGTATTCACTCTGTAGAACTCTAGCTTCGTTATCCAGCTCATACAAAACACTGGTATCACTGCCACTAGAGCCACAGAATTTCGCTAAGGTTGATCTGGAATACACAAGATCAGCACCAAGTTGTTGTTTGCAGTCATTTGCAGGACATGTAATATCTTCCCCTGTCAAACGCTCTGAGAGGCACTGATAACAGAACACATGTCCACACATAGTAACTGTTGGCTCCTCAGGAGTATCCTAAGAAAACAATAAATCAGTTAACAAGCTAGCCAGTATATGACTAGTAGCAGAAAACAAAAACAAACAAACAAGGATCTGTACTGCTTGAAGTTCGATTCTTTGAACCACACAAAAGACAATTTTCTGTGACAAACAATCAAATGATTCCAAACTGTCTGCTCTTACAAGGATGCAATAAACTTCATATAAATTATCATCAATAAATACTCACTGGTTTAAACACATCAATACATTAGATGAGTGATGCACCATAAATGACTCTGAAGAGAAAACACTTATGCTGGTGTAACCATAACTGAATCATTTTTGTGTTGTCAAATATAAGGATCCAGAAAATTGCAAATCCATAATATTAGATTCACTTAGCTGGATAGGACAATCATGAAGCATAACAATTGTCAATTCCATACACTATAAAGTTGTACTAGATGCAACTAGTATGTTATCCAAGCTTCGTTTAATTTATATGAATCCTGGCCAGACATCTACTGTAAATATGACATATAACCTTCTTCTTGAAAGTAATGGATCAGACCTTCTGGGTATAACTCTAATTAATCACACAAATTTTTTGTATGTATATGTGGATTTGCCATTTTGAGATTACAGTGTATTCTTATATGTTCATTGAATCATGGATTGACTCAGTTCGAGTTTCATTCTAAGCTGCTAGGCATGGCAATAATAGCCAGTGTAGCTTGTAGAACCTCAGTTCGAGTTGCATTTGTCTAGGTGGCTTTCTCAAACCTCAAGCTCAATACATCAGGATTAAATATTCCTTAAAGAAAAGTGATTGAAAACAGTACCACTTACTGGACCCAGGACAACATAAAGGTTCTGGATGTCCATTCAATTGATGACATTTCAAAAGACTTGAAAGTGAAGGACAAGGATAAACATACATTGCATCTTTTGCATACTGAGTTTTTCAACTGATTCCATAAATTATCTAGCATGTCCTTGGGAAGCATCCCAACCACCTCATCGGAATTGCTTCTGACAGGACCAGAGCTGAAACCTTTGACTAGTAAAGGGTGATCACATGCTTGCCGAAGTCGCAGAAGCATCAACAGAATGTTAGCATAATTTTGATTTACAGTGCCAGCAGCAGCATAAGCCTGCAGACAAATCAAGAATGGAAATCAATTTTCACACAAGCAGAAAAAACAATTGTCAAATACCTTAACAAGACTCTTATGCAATCCTTCTTAGAAGAAAATCGTTCAAAGAATAAATAACTAGATAATAGATAAAGTGTAGCCGCACCTTGAATTGTTGACGTGAATCGGCTTCAAGTTTATCATAGAAAGTTCGTTCTTCTAAAGAAAAGTCCACCTTTCTCAACTGTATTATTTTAGGAGGCAGACTGATAATAGGCTTACCATCAATCATTGTCCCTGAGACAGAGACCAATAATTATCACCATTTATAGTTTAATTATTCTAGAAATGGTGTTACTAGGCATGAAAATTAATGCTTAAATCAGAGAACAAAATACTAATGATATCTACTCTAAAATGGATAACCAACTTGAGGAAATTCCAGAAACACTAAACATAAAATGAACATAGCAACATGCCCGATCAAGCAGAAAACAGATTCAAAAGTTTGTCCATGGACAATAATTTCCAAGGAGAAAAAAAAAATGAGGAAGAAAAAGAAGTAGAAGAAATCCTTATCTTGGTGCAAATGATTCCCGTTCATAGTAGAATCCTTGAAGCAGATTGTTATAAATTCCATAACATCTTCCCTCCATTTGTTCATCTTATTCATGATATTAAAGAACAAACCAAAATTCAGTTTTCTAGAAACTACATCCTTAGCTTGGTGAAAATGATTTCAATTCACCACTAGAGAATATAATCCTTGAAGCAGAATAGTAAAGGCTATAACATCTCCCTCCATTTGGTCATCTTTCATGATATTAAAGAACAAGCCCATATTCAGAGGTTCAATTTTAATAATGATTTGAAAGATCCACAAACCATAACACTGCAATAGTCAAAAAGATCTAATGACTAGCTCATCTCTTATGGGATGAAATGTCATATGGCTTATACTATTAAAATTCAGCAAACCTCAATTGAATCAAGAAAGTACAGAGAAAGAAATGAAATTCCTATAGACATGGCACAATCCAAGTGCAATTAACAATTAAAGCCAATTATAAGCAATCAGAATATGTGCTTGGTCACTGCTAATTCAAGCACAACTTCCAAACTATCATTGTGAAGCGAGGAATCAACTGGCTTCAATATAATGAAGCGACACCCTTATATCTTTGCTTTCACACACAAGTTGTACATAGATTTATTAGATCATGTTACTTCCATGCTCCATTAAGCAGTCTTTTCCAAATGCATCAAAAGTGTGGAAATACCTTTTGTACGCCGTAACATGATATTCCTTAATACAACTTGAAGCTTCTTGTAACCTTTCACAGAGTCCTTGGAGATCAGACCCTTTATGGAGGAGGCAAATACTTTGTATTTATCATATGGATCATATCTTAAAAATCTGAAGTAGCTAAATAATTCATCCACAGAATTTTGTATTGGCGTTCCAGATAAACACCATCTTCGTTTTGCTCTGAGGCTACAGCAGGCTCTAGCAACTTGAGTTCTGTGATTTTTTATTGTTTGAGATTCATCTAAAACAACTCTAGACCACTTCACCATTGCTAATGTACCATAATTACTATCAAAGGCGGACATGTCATTTTCTTTCTTACCCTTCTTGGACTTCTTATAACCTGATGACCGTTTACGCTTCTTCTCCAAAGATAAAGCTGAAGAAAATTCATGCCTCTCTCCATCTCTTTGTTCATCATCATCCTCATCAACCAAAGGTTGTTTTGGAACTTCATTTGTCACAATAGCATACGTTGTCAAAACTACATTATGTTTTGCCAATGTAGTAGGATTTTTGGTCCTATTGCCACCATGATAAATTAGAACATCAAGTCTAGCTTTATCCGTAACTTTTTCATCCAGCTCACGAGCCCACTGCCGAATAACGCTAGCTGGACAAACAATCAGTGTGCCTGCTGTGGGCCTTTTACTATGGAACCTCTTTAGTGAATTACTGGCACGTGAACGTATTGTAGAATCACCAGAATTCTCAATCTGATTAGCATCATCAAGAGCAACACAATCACCACTTCCATCATTGGTTTGGTCATCATCATCTTCCAAGTTTAGGGCTTCAGTTCTATTATTGCACAAACGTTTGGACTTTGCCTCTTTAATGATCTGCATCTGTATGAGGGCAATCATTGACACAGTTTTACCAAGACCCTGCAATATGCTTAGTTTTAATATACACCGCATGCAATCGATGACCTAAAGAATTTGTGCAGGATGAAGAAACAAGATTAAGCAAGTGGGGGCATGCTTACCTGATCATCAGCAAGAATACCCCCCATACAGAAACCAGATGATTCCCTATTAAGCATCCATGCCAAAGCAATTTTCTGAAAAGTGACAAGCTCTATAAGGAAAATGAATACCCAATGTTATTGAAAAAGGTGTAACAAAAGCACAGGACCTGATGCCTAAGAAGTGAAACGGACAAGAGACCATTGGGTAAAAAGGCTTCCACTTTAGGTTGATGAAGATCCTGCAGAAAACACATCATCTTCAATATGCACAATTGCACATATTCACATTCATTAATTACATAGTAAGAGGTCAAACAATCTCATGTCAGATCATGATGAAAACACAAAGGCGCAGAAACCAAGTGTGTGCTAGGATATGTTTTGGATTAGAAAACTGTTATGGAAAATAGGTTTTGAAGATGTTTGAAGATTGCTTGGTCAATAAAAAAAAAAAAAAAATTATTATAGATTGCAGAAAGGAAAATGGAGCTTAAAATAGAGCACGCCCCAAATATTCCTCAAAAGAATAAGGAAAATCAGCAATCTGTTGACATATTAAAACAGAAATTGCAAGCAAAAACAAGCCCCAAAATATCAATCACTCAATCAAATATGCCTACTTGAAATGACTTCTAGCATAAATCTTCCCTTCATCATATTAATAGCCTTGAAAAGAGTTAATTCAACCATATTTTCGAAAGTCGTCTCTCAGGAGTGATTTTGGAAACCTACAACTTACAAAACATCCTAATCTTAATCGTGGCATCTCATCCAAATTAATATAGCAGCCAAAACTGATTAGCAGTTTCAAGTGTGAGGCGAAGTATAATTTGGAGACCAAATGACTCACCTATAAACATACTAGTTATTATAACTACTTATAAGCTATCCACGACACACCTCATTACCTCAACAACACATGCTAGAGAAATACTATCAAACTTCTAAAATATCTGTATCTGCAAAAAAAACCTAAACTATCAAGGGAGATATAACCAACTATCAAACTTTAATTTGAAATTAATAACCATTAGTTTAACTTAGTGATTAGGATTTTTAAGTTTATAATAATTCCCCAACAATTGGATTTGCTTGGCCACTTAATATGTAGTAATATAAAAAGGCTGAAAATTAAAAGCTTGGCCATTCTTGGCCTATTCTGCCTCCATCAGTCCATTTCCTATACTTCTGTCCTCATTAGAGATATCCACCATACTCTGCCAAGCAACTTAAGCTGGTGAGGTCCTAGTCCAAGGAAAAGATGAAAACTGGAAATTCAGCGATTAAACCCTGGAACAACACACATTTATTGTGGCCCACAAATTTGGTTAAATCCATTGACAGCACTCCACACCAGAAACAGAAGAAATTTTCAGAGCAAAATCTCAAAACCATTGCTCTTTGAAGATGGACCAAATGCTCCACAAGGTTAGACATAACATTACATTGAATCAATAATAACACAAACAGGTGGAAACAGAGTAAAGGAAAAGGCAGAAATGTAAAATAATGTGTAACATACTACAGAACAAAGAATGCTACTTCACTAACCAAAGAAAATGTACCAAGATTATAGGAAATCAAGAGTGCGCCCTATTTTGAGAGCTCATCACATAACTCAAGGTAGGAATCAATGAAGACAAAACCACAAAACAAGTACCTGCACTGCTGCTTGAAACACAAAACTCTCATCAGCTCCTGCAGACCCTTCTTCGCCTATCCCAGTATGAAGAAAGGAATCGTTTGAAATAATGAATGGGGTTGCAGAAGGATGCGGTCCAGCCATCAGAGATGGGGGTAACAACCTATTTCCCTTTTTCTCGCTCATAGAGAGATTATTCCCAGCCTCCCAGATTAAGTTCTCTCTCATTGAGTTCTTTTTGTTAGATGCATTTGACCATGCTGCCATTTGGTACGATTTTCCATCTGTTTCATTAACTTCACTTGTACCAACATCTTCCACTAGATTGTATATTTTATGGTTAGATGAAGACTGTGGGAGGGCTGCTGGATTCATGCCCTTCATTGGTTTATGAGAAGTGTGAAAATCATGAGTGGCGCCATATCTACCAAAATTATTTGAACCAGCTCTCTGGTGAACATTTCCATTGGTCATTAAAGCTGAAGGTTTAACAGTATCTGCAGAAACCAACCGAATATTGGGTCTCAGACTCTCAATAAAATCTTTGACAAGAAAAAGGAGGAGGCGGAAGAAGAAGAAGAACGTGGGTCTTAATAATAAATAACATTTGTAACCTGCAATGCATTACAGAATTTTTGTACTTCACATCATCTGTAATGTAATCTCATGATTCTGTTATTTATTGTAGGAAAAGTAAGTTTTACCCGTCGAATAAGAGTTACTTGTAGAACCCCAACTTGGAAGGATTCTGGAATTCAATGAAGAGGCCGTATCCCTAGCTGGAGACTCATCTTTATAATTATCAATCTCCCGTAAATCTGAATCGCTGTCACTGTCTGTTGAACTCGAACTGATTTCTATAGGATGAACTGAAGCCATTGCAACCAAAGAATAATGGCAATGTGAACTCCACAACCTGAGAGAGAGCCAAATGCAGAACTACCCCGCAGTTCATATCATGAAGATATCACATAGAATTAATATTGAAATGAATGCTGCAAACATTTGGATAAACTAGGCCAGAAAATTGCTTTCAAAATTCAAGAATTCCACCAAATATCGAGTGTCTCTAGGTCAATTTAGAAATGCTTTCAGCAGAGCCCATACGACCGGGCATCTAAACAAGATATCCACATCAAGTGCCACATACAGCAGAAGAATAGAAGCTTGATGGGGTGTGCAATATGATCATACAAGCCAAAGAAAATGAAATGACAGGGGCGGAGAGCGCCCTGGGCAGAGAGGGGATCTGGACTAGTCCCGTTAAACTACATGAAGGTTGTGCGAATGGAAAATTACATGACAAAGTTAGAAATGCCATTCAACCGCAAGCGTCGATTAGTGCGACATGACGTAAAACGGAATCTTGTAAGCAAAATCCGACGTTCAAGAAGTCAAAGAAAATATTCAAGCGACAGTAAAATTAAAAATCTTGAAGGGAGGTGGGAAGTGTTCTTTTTATAAAAGTTGGGCTCTAATCGATTATCAAGAAGAAGAAACAAAGAAGGGATAACAATGGCTGGTAAGTGAGTGGGAAAGGGAGCAGTTGAGAGTGAAAGTCATACATACCTAGCGGCAGTGAGGCTGAATGATTCTGGATTGAGATCGGAAGGGCGGGGGAAGTGAAACTGAAAGAGATGGAGTAATTCGTTGGATATCTCTTGCTGTAAAGCCCGCTCCTACCCCTAATCGTTAATGGAAAGAGGGGCGACGCCGACGAGCGCGGAAGCCGAGTATATGTGTTTAGTGTGGGTTGGTGTGGAGGAGGAGGAGGGCATTGCAGATTGGCAGTCCAGGAAAAACGAAGAAAGGATGCAAATTTTATAAATTTATTTCAAATCCATATTATTTTTATAGAATATGATATTAAAATAATATATTATATTTATAAATCAAATTATATCCAAATAATTTTTTTAACATAAGAGAAAAATATTGTATTTTTTTTATAAAATATTATAAATAGTATTTTGATATAGTATTTTATATAAAAAAATTAATATTTAATAATAAATAAAAAAACACAAATTATGCGGACAAACACATTTTATCTTTTACTTCTTCCGTACCAGATACTGTGTCGTGTCTACTACAATTATTAGATAATTAAAAATGTATTACTGAAAATAATTATTCTATAATATAAATAATTATAAATTAAGATTAATATAACTAATAAATTTAAAAGGAGATTAAAGTCACATGGTACCTGGGAAGGAGAAAGTATTATTTATCCTCTTCGTAGCTGTTTGGTAAACATTTAGCTGTTTGATCAGTAAATTTGGTGTCTGGTAAATTACTATTTTCAATTAATTTATTGGATTCAAAAAATTAATTTTGAAAATACTGTATATATCAATGTTTCAAATTAGTTTTTTCATTTTAATTTTTCTTATTTATTATTTATCTTTAAAATTAATTAATTATTTCACATATAGTCATATATTTTTTTTATTACACTATTTATTAATTATTTAGATATATTTTTTTCTAATAATTTATAAATTTACATTTATAAATTTAAAATAATTATTTTTTTATATATTGATTATTTTATTTATAAATTTTTTAAATTTTTTAGAATAAAGATAATATAAAAATATTAATATTATTGAATTAATTATATAGCATTTTTATCACATAATATTTTTATTAAAAATAAATATATTTATTTAAAATTATAAATTTAATGTAAATATATATTAATTTAAAATTAATCTAATAAAAATATATATATTAATAATTTTTGCTATTTTATATTTATACAATTTCTAATGAAAAAAAAAATTAATAAACTTATATTAATTTTTTACAAAATATTTTTAAAATAATAAAAATAAATATGTTACTAAATTTTTTCCAATTTTTAAAATTAGTAATAAAATTATAAAAAAGTCTACCCACCAAAAAAATTCAACTAAATATTTTGAAAATAAAGTATAAAATGTCATTAATTGTTATTATACGTATAAATCTAATATCAAACCGTTATTTTATCAAATATTTTAATACAAACAACTAATCGAATCAGCTAGTCAAAACCGCTAATTGAATCAGCTAACAACTAACCGCTAATCGAATCAACTAACAACTAACCGCTAATCGAATCAACTAATAGCTATCAACGGATTGCCAAACATGTAAAATTAAAAATTTAAATAAAATATAATTAATATATATATATTAATAAAATAATTGTTATATAAATATCAGTAATTATAAATTAAAATTAATATAACTAATTTATTTAATTAACTTTTAAAAAATATTGATATAAATTTCAAAATTCAGTTAAAATCTATAATTATTTTTTTATAAAAAAGTAAAGACAAATCAGATGAAACAAACAAAAAAAAAATACTACATCCTTTTGGAAGAAGAACAACATTTGTTTTTCAAATAAATTTTTTAATATTAGTATTATATTGGTTTATAGTGAAAAAAGACAAAAATGTCCATATAAACGTAAAGAAAAAAAAATCAATTTTGGTCCTAATATAACCAAAATTTATCAATTTTGGTTTCAATATAAAAAACTCATCAATTTTAGTTTCATTATAAACAATTTTAATCAATTTTGGTCGTATTATAAACAATTTCAATCAATTTTAGTCACATCGTTAAAATACTAACAAAAAATTGACGTAGACGTAACGAACAAAAACATATTCTGAATTTAGGATAATAGTTAAAATAAAAAAAAAAATCAATAGTAATTCTAATATAATTAAATGTATCTATTTTTAATTCAAATATAAAAATTTACGGGAGTTAAATGTAAATAAAAATCATAAGTAAATAGGGAGTAAAAAAATCAATAGTAATAGTAATATAATTAAATGTATTAATTTTTAATTTAAATATAAAAACTTATAGAAGTCAAATATAAATAAAATTTTTAAAAATAAGTAGAGAGTGCAATATATTAAAAAAAAAAAAAGAAAAGACCAATTTAAATGTATTTTAGCTAAAAAGAATTTAAATAGAAGCGCCCTTTTATTAAATTCATTTTTTATCTATTAAATTTATTTTATAAACCATTATAATTGTAAAAAATGTATCCCCCAGTACTCATAAAAAAAACCCATATACATACATATTGGATGCGACAACATATAACCGATGATTATACGCTTAACCTATAACCGATAATAGTATAAGCTTAAAATAGAATTGCTGTTGTAAACAATATGTATGTATGCATACGATGCGATGCAATGCCCATTACTCCTCCATCAGCTATTGGCTTGCATCTCTCTCTCTGCGCCATAACCCGACCGAGAGAGCGAGAGAGAGAGAGACACCGAGGAAGAGAAAGGGAGAGAGATTCATCGGAGAGCGACAACGCGTCGTCATCGCCACCCAGTTGCGACTCTCATCGTCGCCCCGGCCCGCCCCGCAGCCGATTCTTGGATATTCCCTGCGTCTCTCTGATTTTCGCTTCTCCTGCTCTTCTCTTCTATTTTCCTTCCATTTTCCCTGCCTGCCCTGACCCTTTAGGGTTCTTTTTACCAAGACACTGATAGAATAGACTGATCGCCCTTCCTTCGTTTTCAATTTAACCTCATCCCTTTATCCACGCAGTTTCGATCTCGAAGGTACTTACTTGTTCTCTTTTCCTCCCTCCAATTTTTGGCTTACAATCCTCCTTTTATCCGTCTTTTTTGATCATACGTGTTTATTGTTTAAATATAACAATAAATAGAGGGATAAAAGCTACCCCTCCGCCGCTAAAAAATTTATTATGCTCCTCCTCCCTCCCTCTTGCTCCTGACCAACGTCAATTGCTGCTGCTTTTCTTGATTAGGGCTCGGGTTAGGTTCAAAGCTTCCTCACAAATGGAAGCGTCCGGTGGAAATTCGGACGCTTTTATGGATTCTTTTGCCCCTGCTTCATCGACCGTGTCAGCTCACTCTCGAAGCCATGGAACGGGTATTTCTGCTTCCAACATTCTGCGATCGCCCTTCTCCACCTTATTGGAATACACTGGAATTCTTAGAGCCAGGTCCAGCAACCAAGAGTCCGACTCTTTATTGTATGATGAATCCCACGTTAGATACATTGATCACCGCCCACAACAGCATTCAAATCACTCTCCCTCTCCAGATGCAGATGGCACTGCAAATGCTGGAGAGGTTTCCATTCAGATCATTGGCGCCAGTGATCCTGAGCATGAGAGGGGTAACCCCAGGTTGCATTTAGTGCCATCCGTTGGGCAGCTTAACCTACAAAACCAATCCTTTTCCCGGCCAATTTCTAGGTCAGCGTCTGCAGCGTCTGTGTTATCATCGTTGGAGAGCCAGATCGATTTGAGGACCAATCGTGAGGCTGGGGATGTAGCTACTGATTCAACGAATGCAAGTGTTAATACCGATTCCACTGAGGTTTCTGGTACCCATAACAGGGATTCATCCTCTTCTTACCAAAGATACGACATACAGCAGGCTGCTCGGTGGATTGAGCAGGTCCTTCCTTTCTCCTTGCTTTTATTGGTGGTTTTCATCCGTCAGCACTTGCAAGGTATCTTTCTATCTACTTCATATTACTTTCAGCAATGAGTGCTTGGAGTGTCATGTTAGGCAAACCTATTTCAACCGTGAAGCTATTAGTATGTAAATTTGCACCTACATCTCGAAACAGCTGGATAAAACTAGAGAGGCTTCTTTTTATTTTTATTTTTCATATTTCTCGCCTCTAGTGATTGACATTACTGACACTTCTTGAACCATGAAGTATATATTTCTTATGTTCACACACTCCATGAGTAACCTTGTTTTGATATTTTGTGGAGTCCTGTCAATTGTTTTATTGCTAAGCAAGCACTTAAATAATCAATTGATTATTGATGTTTCATGCATGAATTATATGCTTCTAAACTTTTATTTTGAGCTTTGCATGGCATTTGTAATTTGCGGAACTTGACTGCATGAAAACTGAGATTGATTGAAAAACCCGCAGGTTTTCTTTCTGGTGTTGAATGGCTATTAGATTTCCAAGAATACAAACTTCTAATTGTTCATTCATTTGTTTTAAAAAAGCATCTGCACGGAACCCCCCCCCCCCCCCTTTCAAATTCTAGACATTGTTAAAATGTGCAAGTTTCACCTCAAGTGAATAATATTCTCTCTGCACTTGTAAGTTGCAATAAGTAAACTCATGTGTGAATTATCCTTTGCTTTATCTTTCTTCCAAATCATATTGGATTGAGATTGAAATATAGAAATACAAACTTGTATACTAGTACTTCCTTTGTGTAGTGTTTATTGTTGTAATTATTGTGTTTTTTCTTTTCCTCTTCTTCTTCTTTTTCTTTTCATTATTTTTTTGGGGGATTGATGGGGTGGGGTTTTTTTTTTAATGCCCAATTAACCTGCAAGTAATTTGCCACAAATGGGAACAAGATCAATTTAACCAAAACTTCGAATAGTGCAAATGCAAATGGTCATCAAATGGCTGAGAACAAAAGATTCTAGCAAATTTTGTCAGCGAGATAAGGGAAAGTAAAGAGAAATGTTTCGAAGGATATGGTTAAATTTGAAGCCTCGCAACATTGGCTACCTGCATCTAAAAATTGATGCAGGAGCTTGACTAGAAATTGATTCATCGTCTGTTTGTGTAGGAAAATGCTCTTTGACTTATATGCATTTTTGCAGGATTTTTTACCACCATTTGGATTGCTGCTTTCATGTTCAAGTCTAATGATATTGTTCGGAAGCAGACAGCACTTAAGGTAATGTTTGTACATTGTGAGATCTTGTTTGTTTCAAGATGAAGGCACCATTAGCCTGCCATTGACTTTACTCTTCATCTTCAGGGTGAGAGAAGAATAATATTTCTTATTGGAATCTCCATTCTCTTCACACTTCATGTTGTTGGGGTTTACTGGTTGTTTTGGAGTGATGATCTGTTTTACCCATTATTGATGCTGCCGCCAAGAACCATACCTCCTTTCTGGCATGCAATATTCATTATTATGGTCAATGGTAAGCTCATTTAACAGTCTCCTTGAAATCCTGGCATATTTCATAAAGCATTGTAGTTATTTGTATTAATTATATTATATTTTCAGATACACTTGTCCGTCAGGCTGCTATGGTCCTCAAGTGTGCACTATTAATGTATTACAAAAATAGCAGAGGTCGAAACTATCGTACACAGGTAGATTAAGTTTGTTAGAGTTGGTGACTGTCATTCTTGGGGATAGCAGTTACCATCCGATGAAGCTAACATTGATTCACAGGGTCAGATGCTAACTTTGATTGAATACCTGTTGCTGCTTTACCGTGCACTGCTGCCTGCTCCAGTATGGTATCGCTTCTTTTTGAACAAAGAATATGGTAGCCTCTTCTCATCCTTGATGACTGGACTGTACTTAACTTTCAAGCTTACCTCTGTTGTTGAGAAGGTAGCAACCATGTTTTCTTTGGGTTGATGGTTTTTCAGTATTTGGGTTTTGTTAACTACTCAATTTATGAGTGCCATCTGTTTTTAACATGTTACTAAATTTGTTTGGTATCTTAAGGTTCAGTCATTCATTACTGCTCTGAAAGCATTGTCAAGGAAGGATGTCCATTATGGATCTTATGCTACAACTGAGCAGGTATCAAATTTTTATGGATCCATATGTTGAGTTTGTATAACACTTATCATTTTTTAAGAAACACAACCCCATCCGTGATAGAGACATATGTATACTATTTGCGGAAGGAATCAATTCTTGATATAATAGTGGTTGGCCGTTTTAGTATGTGCTAGATATATCTTGGCATAGGTGCTAGCATGAATTCTGTCTGTGGAAGTGCGTAATTGTGTAATTGTGATGTCCATTTAGCACACATGTTTGTGGATCCCTTGATGTTTTAGTGCAGAGGTAATTTTTCCTATCCTGCAATGATATGGAACTTATCTGATCGTGCTATGGTTTGAAAGGTATTGTGATTGCAGAAAGCAGTAATTGCGTATCTTATTGGATCTTGAAAATTGAAAAACTGATGTCCGGCTAACAACGGAGCTTATTTCTGGGTTTATCTGAAATTATATGCTAAGGAATGTGCCTAAATCTACATATACGGCTTTGCTTTTTGCTTTCACACCATGTTAGTGCTGTTTTAGTTGTGTAACAAGATAAAAGTATTGTGCTGCTGGTACTTGATTGATCTCTCATACTAGTTACTGCAGTTTTTACTTGATTGATTGATGTTGTAATCTGAGATCACAGCCTGGCTTCATTTCAATGTTTCTGAAAATATAATTCTGGAACATAATTTAATATTTTCTGAAGATTTCATTATTATGGTAATATACGACTTAATGCAGGTAATTGCAGCAGGAGACCTGTGTGCTATTTGCCAGGAAAAAATGCAAGCTCCGGTTCTTCTACGTTGCAAACATATATTTTGTGAGGACTGCGTGTCTGAGTGGTTGGTGCCTTATCCTTAAGTTATTTTCTAAAAGTTTAGCAATTTTATTCTCTGCCATAGCTACAACTATTAGTTAAGTATATGTTTGTTGGCTAAGTCGCGCATGTATTTATCTCTGTTTACTTTGTCTTTGATGGTCTTGTTTTGTTAACGACTTAAACGTACAAGCACCCAATGCTGTAAAGGCAATAAAAATTTGTAGAGAACTGGGGAGCCTAGTGTTGTTTTCCACAGGGAGGGACTTATGATATAGGATGTGCCTAGAAACTGATACTACTACCCTTGTGTTCTAGTTATAGTTTGATGCAAGGAAGATGGTAAAATGTATTCCATAGAGATACTAAAAGAGGGAAGGGGCCATCATTTCAACCCGTGGAGACAGAAGTAGGGTCTGGATTGACTTGGTTTGCACTGATGTTTTTCCTTTGATTGACGCTATGAATCTCACAATTATTCAGAGTACATGCAATGAAGAATGTTTTGAATTGTAGTCTTTTGTGTACATTAAACCAAAATACTCTGAACTTTGGTCAATCCTTGAATTCCTTAGGTTCTCTTATTAACTTGCAATTTCCTGAATAATTAAATTGCCATAAGAGATTAATTCTTTCTTGTCCAGTAATTTAGAGGAGTTTATATAGTTTTGTTGAATTAGTGCAAGTCTCAACTCCTATCAATTTTCCTGTTGAGTACTCATTATAATATATCATGTATGTGAGTATGTCCTTTGCTATTCTTAGTAAGGTTCGCTACTCCTTCAAATCAATTAAAATATCTACGGTAGTTGGTGTTAGTTTAATATACATACCATGTTGAATATTATAGTGTTTATGTTCCCAGGTTTGAGAGAGAACGAACATGCCCCTTATGCCGGGCCTTGGTGAAACCTGCTGATCTCAGGTCATTTGGTGACGGATCCACTAGTCTATTTTTTCAGTTGTTCTGAATCCAGGAGGCTATCTGTGTTGCAGCATTATAGGCCCAAGGAAGTAGCACCATTGGTTTTGCATGTAAAGTTTAACACACTGATGAGTGATTGTTTACGGTGGCTCTGACAAATAGTTAGATGCGGCTGATAGAACTCGACCTCCACCTATTGTTGTTGTTGTTGATAAGTTGTAAGCATGTAACGATTCCTATTGGAGCTTCCTCTACCGCTCCTCATAGTAGAATGTATATAGTGCACCATGCTGGCAAGTGTCCGCTGAATTTTGGCAGGCTTTTTCTCTACCCTGCAGGCATGTTTATGAATTAGAACAAGTGCATAGTTGATTACTCCAATGCCTATGGATTATGTTGATCTTATTCCGAGGAATGGAACTTGTGATTACGGGTTTAAAGTCACGTGACGAATAAAGAAATGATCGTGAACTAATTTTATGTAGCAGGATGTGATTGCAAAGCTTTCAAATTATAGGGTAAATGAAACTTAGAAACATTTTGGGATAATGTCGTTTAGACTACAACTAACTGTATATTTGCAACTGCATCAAGAGAATCTACCTGTGTGGTAGAAACAATGTTTAAGATCGTGTGGTACATGGACTGGCGAGCACAAATAGTAACATGACCATCACAACGAGAAGCGTGTTGTACATGGACTGGCGAGCACAAATAGTAGCATGACCATCACGACGAGAAGCGGAAGCTGACGCTGCACTGTTCAGTTGGTGTGAGACCCATCAGGGCAACTCCAACAGTACTCATCTATGAAGTTTGGTGCTTAAAATAGAGATGAATTCCTTCAATCCATTCTGTATTTTGTGGAAATGCTACTACGCGATACTAAAAAAATGAGTTGGAATAAAAATAGAAATAGTGTAATTACTGAATAAAAACTGCATACATAGAATTTGCGGATGAGAGATGCTCACCATGTTTAACTTTGAATTATGGGAAGTGAATGAAAATGGGATGCCCTTCAACGGAACTACTAATTGCTTTTGTGTTTTTCCAAACGACACACACAAAAAAGAGGTGTATATATATATATATTCATGTATATAGTCGGCACCCAATGAAATGAGATGGGTCGGGTCGGGTCGGCTAGTGTGACTGAAATCAATGTAAGATAACTTTATTCACCACCACCCACAAAGCAAAACATACATAAGAAGTCTTGTCTGTGTAATGTGTTTTGTCCTTAATTAGCTTGCTGTCAAGAAAACCATATAAGTAGGAACACTGACTGAACACACTTGCTGTGCCAGCCAGTAACCTGCCCTGCCTCGCAAAGAAATAGGTGAATTGGGGCAGATTCAGAAACGACGTTGTGATGAAACAAAATGCAAGAATCCAATAAAAACAGAACAATGAATAGCGCGCATGCATGCATGCATGATCATATTATTATTGTCTGATTGCGTCTTGTGGAGCAGCAGCAGCAGCTAGCTTGGTCAGCATCATCTTGGGAATTTCTGCCGCCTCCGCCGAAGCGGCTCTGTATAGGCGCATGCTCGAAGAGTTTGAGTTGGGCGAGGAAGGTGGGGACACAGACGCCGACACACACAGCCTCATCCTTGCATTTGATGCTCCTCCAGCAGCTACCGGGCACACTTCGATCACCTCTTCCATTCCCTCGTCCAAGTCCACCAAGTCTTGCATCGACAATTGGTGATATTCCACAATCTCCCTCAAGTACCTGTTCTCCCGGGCATACACAGAATTCTCATGCGCCAGCCTTGCCTTTTCCTCCAGCAGTGTCTCTAGTTGCCGCCTTATCTGAACATGAATATGAGCATGAATAGTAATGATAACAAACAAGAACAGCTACAGCTACAGCTACAGCTACAGATCAACACAACCCAATATGTTCACAGTTGCATGTATGCTTTGAGTTGTACCATGTCATCATCTGCAGGATTCACCCCCTTTTCCCGTGCCTCTCTAAGGATTTTATTCTCCTCTTCAAGCTGAGAGCACCTCTGTTTTGAAAAAGCAAGCTCGGCTTTAACTGTTTTCAGCTCTCGCAAGAGCAGCTTTGCCTTGGCAGCCGTTGCCATTGCCACCTAAAATCATGACCCAAATCCAGTTTTACAAATAATGATAAATAAATAATGATGTACTGATCAAATCTGCGACAAAAATGCAGCAGAGTCGAATATAAATCACACTCAGTCAGTCAGTCAGTCAGTCCGCAGGGAGGTGTTTTTAATTACTCCATGATATATTTATATGGTTGATGATCCCAACCATGGCTCTCATTCACACAACACAATCTACACAGTGGTGGCCACCTTACGTCGCGAGATGCCTTGAGCTGATCTTCTCGGCTGGTTTGGTTCAGCGATGAGCTTGACTGCTGCTGCTCTGATGTGGGATTTTGTTCCTCCGAATTCAACCCTTTTCTTCTTATCTGCAGCATGCGCGGTTCTTGCATAAGGTTTTCAGTCTTATTTTCAGCCATCATCTGAAAATTTTATTACAGACAGACGTCAAATGTAAAATGGCTCATAGCAGCCAGCAACTTCTGTTAAGAGGGTATCAATGAGTTGTAAGTGGAGTAGTCTTCCCTCCTTATAAGATAGGGGAGCTCCAACATTACTTTCCTTGTGGATATTAAATACTTTCTTTCGAGATGATAATCTACTATAGCTCTCAAACTATGTTAAGACTAATACGAGTATCATAGCTCTGAAACTATGTTAAGAGGGAATTGGTATTTCAACTTAAAACCAATTGATGATTGTAAGTGGAGTAGTCTTTGTAAGATAGAGGAGCCCCAACATTACTTTCAATATGGGATACTCGACAACTTCTGAAAAACTATTACTATTATGATGCTACTTCATTGTATTGGATAGATGACAGAACGGCTGCATATGCATTATTTATTCGCATTGATTGCACTAAAATGTTCCTACCTCTGAAGCAGTGTCGCCCATGTGGTTCATGGAAGATGCGAGCGCATCTGTTCCCTTAAGCTTGCGCAAGGTGGGATTGTCCATTGTTTTGAAGCTTCCAGGCTTGCAGGAGTTGAGTTATTAGAGCGAGAGAGACAAAGGCAAATAGAATACTATACAATAAAATATAAATACTAGTACATATACATATGCAAAAGAATCGAACAAGTAGTGGAGCCATCACAAAAAGGAAAGAGGAGAAGATTTTTAGATTTAGCCAAAGAAGAGCTCAGCAGCAGCAAAGGTGGTATGGGTACGTATGTATATTAAAAAATTGAGATTACTACCCTACCTCTTCAGGTATGGTGGAAGAGGCAATGCGTTCGGATTCAGAATCCTCCTCGAGGATCGCTTTAGCCTTCCTGGCAAGAACCCCCCAAAAGCTTCCTGCTTCGTTTGAACTTCCCATCGACGTGTAGTCATAGGTTGGGCCTCCTCCCTGCTATTTTGCATATATTCGTTCCATGAGAAGCCAACGTCGCAGCAGGTGTATATATGGAGGAGATTGCACGTTTCGAGATGGAAGAACGGAAGGATAAGAGGCAGAACAGAGGCATTCATTAATTCATTCACATTGTTTGAAAGATTGATCGGTCGATCATTCGCTAAGAATAAACGGAAATGGAGAGATGAGAGAGAGAGAGAGAGAGAACCGTGTGCTGTTGTCGGAGAGCAGTGGGGCGGGCATTGGCGGAGGCCTGATCAGCCAGGGACGAGGATGCTGCGGGGTCATCTGGCGGCCGGTACATTTCTTCCTTGAAAGTGGCGGATCTTCCCAGCCCTTGCCTCCTCCTGTAAGCCATTCTCCTCTTCTTCTTCTTCTTCTTCTTCTTCTCCTTATTATTATTAATATTATTATAAATTTAGTTCTAATAACTTGTGTGTTGAAGGGAGGGATCTCTTCTGATCTGTACGAAGGTTCAGCCGCCACAATTCGTGCATCAGAGGTGGAACACCGACAGAGTCAATGTAAATCGATTGGATGGTGCGATTGGGAATCGAATGGTGGAACAGAAACAGAAAACCAGAGAACCAAAGAGAGCGAAGCTGGTTATTTTGCAGACAACGAAAAAAAAGAGAGAGAGAGAGAAAAAGAAAGGAAAGAAAAGAAAAACGAGAAAAACAGAAAGAAGACAAGAAAGGCGATTGGATAGTGAGCAGGCAGGATGATTTCGCGCGGATGGGAGCTCACATAACCGTAACCAACTCCCCTGTTTTGATGCTGTGACACCCGATACACACACATATATATATGTAATGTATGTATGCATTATAGATTTGTCCGATCATCCTGCTGCAGGTTAAGGTTGGTTACAACTTACACCACGTGTGTGTGTGTGTGTGTATGTAGGTATATGCCTACTAATAGTAAATATACGAAAATTGAACTCACTCTCCTGCCAGACAGACAGCAGAGAGGTTCACAAAAAAGAGGAGATTCAATTTAAGAATACATAGCCACGTACCCACCCACCCACCCACATTGACATTCCAATGAGCGAGTGAATGAATTGAAGGATCGGAGGAGGTGATGCGAATGCCATGGAAATTGGAATTGGAGCATCTGCATCTGCGTCTGCGTCTGCGTCTGCGTCTGCATCTGGCAGCTGGAGGATGTCGATGATATTGTCATATATGCTCTTGCTCTTGGACAGGCAGGCAGGCCGCAGGAGCCCAACAAATGCAACAATGCTGCTTTGTTTGTGCTTGTATTTTATAGAGGAGCTCTCCTTCCTTCTAGGTTAAAAGATATATATATATATATATATAATTTGATGATAATATATGGGAAAACGAATGGAACTGCTGCTTTTCTTTTCTTTGCCTTATGTTCGATTGATTAACAAGAAAGAAGCAAGGTATGCATTACTTTGTTCCCTCTTTTCAATGATTGTTGCAAATAGGGCTGTTTTTTATGTTTTCTTTTTTTTTTTTTTTAATCATGGAGAGAGAGACAGAGGTGAGGAGTTGAAATCCGATCATGGATTGATAGAATATAATGCTGCTGTTACGTTGGATCATGCATACGGAGATCATCATTGTCATCTACTCAGACTTGATTGAGCCCTTGATTGATGACAATGACGATGAAATGACAAGACCTTTTTTTTTTAGAAAATTTCATAATGTATTTTTTTTTTTTTTTAAGCCATGAAAATCCACAGCGGCACTATAACGAAATTCCTATCGAACATAATACTCTTTCAAATTAGGTTCAACAGCCTCAAAGATTTGATAGAATATAATGCTGCTGTACATGCATACGGAGATCATCATTGTCATTTACTCGACTTGATTAAGCCCTTGATTGATGACAATGATGGGTGTGTTTGTTTTGTGCTATTGGTAATTTTTTTTTTATATATAAATTATAAAAAATTGTATAAAAAATATAAAAATAATGAGCATGTAATATATTAATTTTTTTAAAAGATCTGAAAAAAAATAAAATAAGGCCTAATGTTTTGAAATTAAAAAATATTTCCTCCACCCCATATTTTATCACTCCATTTATTATTTTTGTATATTAAAAATAAAGATAAAAAGAATAAACTATTATATAAGGGTGTGTTTGTTTGGAAATTTGATTTTAAATACACTGTTTATCCCATTTTTTTCTCAAAAAATATCAAATTAAAGACCTATTTTTTTATTTTTTATATTATACTAAAAATTAATTTTACATTCAAAATATCACATCAACACCTATTTATATCACATCATACAACTATTCAAATTCAAAATTTTTACTATTCAAATTTCAACTTAAAATCCAGACTCCGAACAAACACACCCTAAATGTAATGATATTTTTATAATATATATAGTAAATGTAAATAAAAAAATATTTGTAACGAGTTAGATAAATAGTATAGACAGAAGCAACAATTATTTAATTTATTTATTTTTATTAGAAAAAACTAAGTAAATAGTAAAAACTTATAAATCCACGAGAAAACACCGCCTACAGTTTTATTTTTTTTGTCTGTATAGTTATGAGAAGAATGTGTGTTACCCTGTTTCCTCCTTCAAATCAAATACCGCTACTCGCTGATGGTCACCGTCGCCCGTCGTTTACTTTTACATCGACACTGACGCACCCGCACCGGCGCCAGCGACTACTGCCACTGGCTCCACCACATATTCTCCACTTATTTACTTCCTTTCCTTTGTTCTTCATCCTATCTTTTACTCCTCTTCCTCTTCCTCTTCTTCCTAGCACTACTTTATCGGATCTTTCGAGTTTTCCCCTTCTTTAAAACCTCCGATTTTTGCCGATTCTTCGTGGAATGGAATGACGGCTGAATCTGTGCTTGACCATCTCTATTTGATGCTAAACCCTACTTGGATGCACTATTTCCCTTCCTAATTTGTGATCCCGATTTTGACCAGGTGGATGCGGACTTCGATTCCTGTGATTCTCCATCATCATTAGGTCGGTCACTGCGAAGGAACTGCTGTCTATTTCAATTTTTTTGCCCACTTGAGGCGCCGCTGCCTTTCCAATCCCAAATCTTAACCCTGCTGCTGTGCAACGATTTCCCCCATTACCGGAATCGATATACGTGAGTTTCCAGACTTCGTGTTCGTTCTACATCACTTGGCAACTCATTTTACGTCTTCTTTACAGTCTCACATGGACATATACTCTGACAGTAATCTTGGGGAGTCTTCTCGATACATATGTGACAGCTTAGCTGCTCATAGCTCTCCTGTGCTCTCAGCCACATGCTCTTTATGTCATAGAATCCATTCATCAGATGATGGGAATGGTGATCTTGAAGCTATCAACATATGTGGTGATTGCAAATTTTTGTTGATGGAGGACATTGAGACCACATCGCCGGATATGCATCAGATAAGCGTACCTGCACCCAGGAGGAGGTACAGCAGCTCTGAATCCATTGAGAGTATGTTATCTCAACAATTTTCGCAAGCCATCACCCTTGCTAGGCAGAACCAGGCCATCGGTTCTGAGCACAACTATCAATCTGTAGGAGAAGTTGCTGCAGATTTGGCGCAGCAATCTAGTTCTCATACTACTCCCCTTGGGTCTAGAAGGTTTAGGAGAGTGTTTTCAGATTATGACAGCGATGGCTTTGATTCTCTCTACGGGGAGAGTGAATCACTTGTCAGCTTCAGGAGATCTAGAATTCTTTGTGGTGAGGCTGATTCCATTTCTTACAGCGTCTATGAAGGGGGCTCTGAGGCCTCGGGTGATGGTCAGAGTATGTTTGAAGATGAAAATTTTGGCCTTCCAAATGGAGGAGGGAGTGACCTAGAAACTGATACTGATATTGATCCAATGAATGTGGGTCTCTATCACTGGAACACCGAAGATGAGGAAGAGGAGGATGAAGATGTCGATGAAGACAACAGTGAACAGGAGGGAACTGAGGTTGAGATGAATGTTGGTTTGTCAAGACTGAACTCCAGAGATGTTCCCATCCCTGCGCGCAGGCAATCTCTGTCCCCTGAAGTTGAGGGTGCATTCTCACTAGGAGTGGTCCATGGGAGGATACAAAGACACGCTGATGCATTGTCAGCCGGTATTGAGGAGTTAGTAGCCAGGAATCATACCGGTGATTCTGTAGATTACCTTGAAGGCTTTGAAAATCTTCTTGAACAACTTTCCGAAGCTGAAAATGGTTGGAGAGGGGGCCCTCCTGCATCCGAGTCATTTGTGAACGGCATGCCCTGCTTGACTGTTAATGAAGACAAGCTGGATGGTATGATATGTGCAATCTGCAAAGATCCGTTCAGCGTTGGCACTGTTGTGAAGCAGCTCCCCTGTTCTCATCTCTATCATCCCTCTTGCATCTATCCATGGTTGAAGGCAAGAAACACATGCCCACTTTGCCGTTATGAGCTTCCAACTGACCCTAGTTATGAAGGAAGGAGTAGGGACTGGGGGGGCAATGAATACAGGAGGCTTGGTGCCGGTCAAGGCCAACACGATGTGAGACAGAGTGGTTCATTGGAGGGTGAGGGTGTGGGTGAACCTTTTCAACTCGGTCCTGCAGATTCTGACAGCGAGGGTGCTGCTGCTGCAGCTGCTGCAAGGGACATTCCAAGAAGTGGATGGTTATTTGCTGCAGCAGCAGCTCCATTTGTGGGTATATTGGGAATGTCTCTTATGATGTGGTTTTGCGCCAAGAAAAGATGCCAGAGGAGCCACATTCCCTGCCGCCGGGACTACGGTCAGAGGTGGTGGCGGCTGTATTTCTGACTCTCTACCAATGAATGATCCGATCCACTAATAATATCCACGGCTGGAGCAGTGTCTGATAATTGGGTGTGCTTGGGTTTCTTTCTCCTACGCTGCCTGCCTGTGCTTCTGTGCCATGCAGTTGTGGGACTTCGTTTCTTTCATTTTTAGAGCAAAGAAGACTGAGAATCTTATTCAAGAGTACATATTGTTGAAATTGATAAAACAGACAAACTAGCCAGAGCTTGGATGAAAAGTAAATGGGCAACTGCTCAGTGCAGTGCTAACAAGTTCTAAAGACTTCAAAAGAAAATGAAAAATTACTCCATTGAAACATAATCAGCCCTAGCGCCGACAATCAATTAATGAAGTTAAATAGTATGAAAATAATGGAAATTTTATTCAATCAAACCCCATAAAGATCAGATTCAGAACAAGCTTGATTTAATTACGTAGAGAGTTGAAAGACAGCATGAGCGTACAAAGAAAAATGCGAACCATACTTGCTTTACATTATTGCATATACAAAGTAGTCTCTACGAACGAACCAATTGCACCCCAGCCACCCCGCCGTCTCCTGGATGTACGTACTATCTTATACTAGCACTCGCCATAAAGACAACACAAAACAGCTGTCTTTCCATTATACATTCAAAATAGAATGTTGAGATAGAGAATAATCCAACCAGCCATCGAGAAAACAGCAAAAATATGAACCCAGAACAGTACAGCTGCTGCATCCCTCCCGCATCCTCGCAGATTGGCAACGGCACCTGTAAATAAAGCAACATTTTAATACTGACAGGGCATTACGGTGTCTTGTACAGTGTTGTCCCCAGACAACTCCTAACAATCCATCTTATATCAACAGAAATCGCTTTTGCATCTCATGCATGAACCAGCGATGTTGGAGTGCCTTGGCCAAGTATATAATAGTGCCAACTAGATATTGTACAAGAAAAGAACCCCAGAAGGAAGTGCTTGCCTGACAGAACGGAAGTAGGCATTGTGTGCTGGAGCAAGAGCACAAATCTGAACATTTTGTCATCAGGGGGTAAAAAGCCCATCTTATCAGCCAGCATGACAATACCTAGTCCAGTAGGTGGAACCAAGAGCAATCGGCCAAAAATAATCGCTGCAGTTGTGCGTGCCCCAAGTTTTGAACTTCCGGGCCCTGCATGCATTCATATCTAGACACTTCAGCTAACCCGGACAAAACCAATAGCTAATTAACAAGAGAATAAGGCAGCCAGATGAAATAATTAACGAAGATTTCAGCATATTACCATCCACAAGGTTGCCTCCTAAAGCCAGTAATATGCATGGGATCATTGCGTCCCTGACAATGAATTTCAGTGTTAGAAAATAAATGCGACTACTTACTGAACAGATAAATGGTCTAAGCCTATCTGCAATTTTACCTAACTCAATGTATAGGAAACCTAGTTAAGCATTTCTAAAGAAAAAACAAAATATTGCTGCGTGTAAAATTTATTTGCTAAGAATTAAAGTAAGCAAAGGTCCTGCTAAATCCTCCACAGCCACCTCTTCTGATTGTAAATAATTTATTTGCACCGCGCAATGAGAAATACTTCAGAGTCTTAGGATACAACCAAAATAATACCATTCAAGGAAGGAAGAGCATACCCAAGAATCATACAACTGTCAGTGAAAAAGTAGAGGGGAGCATCTGAAGTGAAGACTAATTTCTTCAAAGAAGGAATGCATCCTAGTACTATCGCAATAATCTGTAGAAAAGAAAAATGTAAAGAATCCGATCATAAAAAAATAAAATGTAAAAAATAAGAATGAAACAATTGGTCCAAATAAATTATTATGCACACATAAGTCCTGTAAAAAACACAGGGAAAAAGAGATAGTAATAGTTAGGTTAGCATGCTTCCAATCGACCTCTCTCATATGTGCATGGCTCAAGAGAATACAAATGGGCAACATTAAGCTCATCCAAGTTCTACATTCTGCTGCTTAGCTAATCAGCCCTCAAGTTGGCATAATTTGGATTTGTCCGACATATCACATCGTAATACACAGAATACAAAATGAAGCATCAAACTTCACTCAAACATAACAATGCGCAAACATAAAGAAGGTTCAGGAAGGAAGTCAAATGACCCGGCCTCCCCTGGCTCTTCCACCTTAAAGCATTTTTTTTGCAAAAAAGAAAAGAAAAACAAAAATTTCAAGAACAAACAGCTTGTACAAAGGAATTAAATAAAATTACTGAAAATATTACTCCATCCGTCCCACTCCAAAGGGGTCCTTTGGGATTTTGTATTAGATTAAAAAATAATATTTTATTAGTTAGTGGAAGTGTTGTAAGAAATTTTGACATTTTTGTCATTCGACTTTATGTATAAAGTAACTGTACATATAAAAATATATTTCTAATTGAAGTTAAAGTTAAGAATATTTTAGTATTAGTGTATGGTTACTTTTACTAAAACAAAAAAAGAATACTTTGAAGTGAAACGAACGAAAATGATAAAAAAGATACTTTAAGATAGGACTGAGGGAGTATTTAATATATTACCAAAAAAACCAATTTTCATTCAAAACATCATGTCAAACACCTCTATATAAATCACATCAAACTCAACAATTCAAAATTTTACTATTCCCAAAATGCAAATCTAAATCCAAATCCAAATCATAAAAGAGCAAACCCCTAAACTTACCGAAGCAATAATAGGAGGCTGGATGATTTGCTTGAGCTTCAACTTTTCATAAATATATTTTAAAAAATCTTTGACCTGCATGATGGAAGACATAATTGAGATCTAACCATAAAATCAACAACATCAAAATCATAATCTATATGAAGCTGAAAAAGTATGCACAATTGACCAGGGCGACAGGTTGACAGGATATTGAAAGATGGGTATTGCTTGTTTTATTTCATTACGTGTACTTTCTTCGTACAAGAATCCCCACCTAGAATTCATTGTACTAATACATCAACATACACAGAAGATCGGTGCTCGTTACTTTCTAGATAAGTATTTTATCCCATATTTCAGAGGTACTTAGAAATGTTGATACGTCAAGTTCAATGTTGCATAACCAATAAACTCTAAATCTTTTTGAGATCACTTTCATTGTCCACTTGATTATCAGGTGCATGCTTTCCATACAGCTATAGATCTTAAAGTTTTACAGAACTTCAGAATTGTATTGAAAAGAATGACTAGAACTAGGTTTATACCTTTTCTTTCCTTGTGATGCTTGCATGGTTTCGAATAGCCTCCTCTGCAAGTAGAGGAAGTTGCTCGGGAGAATTATCTTTTGTGAGCGAATTGGAATTATTTCTTGTATGATTCTTCATAGATAGATTTTCATCATCAACATCAAATGTTCCACCAGGAGGTGGGGCAAGCATGTGAAAAACATAGGTATACAAGACAATAGCACCAACCTACAAAGAAAATGGACAAAATCCTTGTTCATTTACCAATGCACAGTTGATGGATTCCATCATGCTGTATTTTATAGGGTTATGATTCATGATACTTATTCAGAAGTAATGTACCAACATCATCACAAAATAGATTCTGAATAGTTTACCCATTGGCCAAATGAGATATATGCATTTCCATTTTGAGAGCATTTCTCACCAAACGGATTTGTCTTATCTCGACAAAGTGCTGCAATCAACACAAGTGGAACATTTCCAATATTCCCTGAAAGTGGAAATAGTTAAGAAGGTGCTCTGACTTTGGAAAGTGAATTACAAAAAAAGCAGCAGTAATTGCAAGAGAGAATTGATGATAAATATGGATAAGCAGTAAATAGATTTAACATTTAATCAATAACTTAATAAAACCAGAAGATAATCACAATGATTGGAGGCTGTAGCAGGCATATAGTCAAGTCATGACCTATCTTTCTCTTCTAATAATAATAATAATAATACGACAGAGAAACCAGATCTAAGCATCAGTATGTCATGATTGACTGAACTCATTGGAAGTTTGGAATCCATGATTGGTGTCAAGGGAAAGAGTGATTTTTAATATAGTCAACATTTGAAATTTGCTATTTGAATTAAAAAGATCAGTACCCCCAATTGAAAGTAGGTCTATATATAGGGAATGTTACAATGGTATTATGTAATTCTGTTAATTTGCTTATAGCAAATACTTACATGTGCAACACATAAACCTAAATTAAAAATATAGGTATATAATTATGTACAGTTGTATACTACTGATAAAAATCAAAATTAATAGAGCAAGTTATAAACAAGTCATGTTCCAAATAAAACTTTTTATCAAGAACCAAGGGTAGAAAGTTTGCATATGCAGTTCTTTATTCATAGCTACATGTTCAAATATTCATAATATTACTGTATTTATATGTATATTAAACATTATAAAGTTTGTCTGACTTGTTAGAGCAGTGCCTTACTACCTTTTAAGGTATGACCAAGCATAAAAATCCTTGTGCTATGTTCTGGATTTTGAAAAGACAATCACCAAAACCTATACTCTTGGCAGATTTCACAATCACATCCATATATATCATTTCTTTTTTTCTTTTATCACATGCTAAAGTCATTCAAATTGTATTGAGCTCACAAAAAGATTGTGCTGGAATATACAAACAATCCTTTCAGCAAAAATATTACAAAAGTTTACCTATTCCAATTTGTACTATAGTAAACTTGAAGAATGGATATGGTGGGTGGACAATTGAAGCCACAATAAGACCTATAATGGAGCCTGATATGGTGGCCAGGAGAACATTCACAGGAATGAACCACCTGAAACAAGGGAATGTTTAGTAACCAATTGAACTAGTTATTTTAAGATTACTAAAAACTCAAGTCAACTCTTACCATTCAATCAAGTTCTGAAAAGTTATGGCCTCTCCCAGTTGAGAGAATATCAAACAAGGGAGCAGAAGCGAGAATACTAGCTGCATCAAGTAAAGAAACCAAATAAGTTGACTATATGGTAATTTGGATAAGGCAAGTAAATGGTGTTCAAGATAAAAACAAATGAACACGATTATACTTCCATGGAAATGCGAATTGAAAAGGCTAAGCCCTAAAATGTACCTAGAAAGAGAAATTTTTAATGAGAATTTGATCTCTACGGAAAGTTCTCTACTAGAGGACGTGAGCTACACATACATATTATACTGAAGTCCTAGAAACATATCTAGTAATTATCTAAGAGATGTGTTTGCTTACCCCATTTAACAGCTTTCTTCCATTAGCAGGTAAAATATTTACATATTTGGAGGCCATCAGAAATCCCAAGAAACACAAGGTAAATACTTTTGCTATAGGCAAAATAGCAATCTTAATAGTTCCAAGCAGCGACTGTCCACCCTTTTGGGGCTCTGTTAGGACCTGAATCAATAGCCTTTGAACTCTATTCATCATATCTGAAATAATGCTCAACTGTAGAAGGTGCTTGAATTTTTTGTAAGTAGTATCCCGTAACTGGAAACAGGAACGCTCGTACCTGTCAGTACATATGTGGCAAGAAACAATATAATCAATGGGATTTCAAAACAAAGTTAGCAAGAAACAATATAATCAATGGGATTTCAATCAAAGCGTGAGTATGACGAAAAACCTCCGGGGCCGCAACGTGCCTCTAATTCTGCATGTCAAAAAAAGAAATTAGCCTTATAAAGATTTTTATTACAAAAAAGGAAAAAAAAAAAAAAGGGGTGTAGGAATGGCCACTGCTCTGAAATAATTATGGATGGAGAAGTGAGAGGAGAAACAAAAAACTTGAATACTGATGCGAGGACGGAAACATGAAAAACTTGAGAATAAAAGAAAATAACAAAAAGAGTACGTAACCACAACGATTCAGATTTTAGGAGTAAAACGCGATCAAAGTAGCACAGAAGAAAGAGACAAAATATTATGATGAACTTAAGGATCTAAAATATGTATATATATATATATAGATAGATAGATATATAGACATGAAAGAAGTTACCGAGGAAAGAGTAGTAGCCAGTAGGAGTTGATTGGCCGTCCGGCGTCCGGTACAAAACCTCACAAGTCACTTAAACAACACAGGGAGTGGAGTGGATCGACGATGTTGATGCAACGAGAATTCTGAGAAACAAAAGATGATTTCCAAACTGGAGCAGCAGTGAGGAATCGCGGGACTGATGAATCACTGGTGGAGATGCGACCGGTCCTTAAATAATGGGATGCGGAAGATGGTTGATTCAGGGCTGGGCTGGGCTGGGCTGAAATTTTGGGGCCGGCAATCGCAACCCTAAACCCGGAGTGGTGTTTTGCGGTGGTGCGATTGCGGGTGAGATAACAATAATATATTGATCGATGTGTGGCGTCGCGGCGGAGAACAGGCGGAAGTTAACGTTGTTTGTTTGGACTCCCCCCTCTCTCTCTCTCTATAACACTCCAAACTCCCTCCCTCTCCCTCTGCTCTGCAAGGGTCTAGCTAGATTCGACTCGAGTCTCGACGCTCCTCGTGTGCGCGTGTGTGTAGATCTTTCTTCTTCCACTCAATTGCTGCCAGGTGTAAGGCGTATGTATCTTGTCCCTGTAGAAGTCCAAGTCCAACCGCTGACGGTAAAGTTTTATTTATTTTTTTTATTTGAATTTTAATTTAAATCATATTGAAATAAGTTTTGGATTACATGCTGATTTGTTAAATTAATTCAGCATGTGCTGATTTAATACTAGCAATTGATTAGAGAATGATAATTTAGTCAATTCAAATATTTATTATTAATCAATGGTGCTAAATTTTGAATTATTATGTTCAGCATAGAATCTCATCAGATCAAAATAACAATATTTTCTCCGGTTAATAATTTTTTTAGTAATTAAGAATTTTTTATAAGTATTTTTATTTTATTATTTCATCCGTCCTGGATATTTTATCCTATCTCACAGTAGACACAGAAATTTAGGAAGAATATAATTAGTAATTAATTAAAAATATATTAATGAAAATAATTATCGTATAATAAAAATAATTATATATTAAGATTAAAATAATTGATTAGTATAATTAAAATTAAAAAAATTATAAATTAAATTTTTAAAAATAAGATTAGAGTGTATAATTATTTTCTAAAAAAGAAAAGTGACAAAATAAGTGGGACGAAAATGGAAATGTGGACATAAGAAGTGGGACGGAGGGAATATTATTTTTATTAAAAAAAATAAAACAATATTATTATACTCTTTTTGTCTGCTTAAGGCTCACATTTACTTTTTGTGTCGTTATACTTAATATTAAAAATATTTTTATATTTGTATAATTTTTTCTTACAAATGTCATTGTATTAATATTATAAAACATTAATGGAAGTATTTTTGTAATTTTTTGTATTTACGTTTTGACATAATTAATATTCAAACATCAACGCGCAAAAAGGTAAATGAAACGGTCGGAGGGATAATTTTGGGATAGTTGATCGGCATTCTCTACTCTTTACTCTCTATCACTTATAGGGATGGAAATAGGCCATGCGGCCTGTCAGGGCTTAAGTCTAGTCTGCATAAGGCTTGATTTGTATATTTCTAATTTTTTTTAAATAAATAGAATAGACTTAGGGTTTAAGAAAAACTTTTTTTGTCCTATCAGAGCTGTTTATATATTTATATAGTATATATATTTTTCTTATCTAATATATATAAATATTATGTTTTTAATTGTTTATAATTTATAAAAAATTATATTTGGTGACAATAGAAACTAAAAAATTAATTTATTTTAACTGACTTATTATATATTGTTGATGTAATTTTTCAACAAAAATAAAGTAAAATTCAAAGATATAGAAAATATCCTTAAACTTGATTAATTAGTGCCTGAGATTAGGAATCTCTAAACACTGTATGGTACAGAAAATAAACTGGAAAATAAAAGACTGAAATTTAAAATGGTGATCCCCAAATCTGACTTTGCTTTGTTGAAGTTGATTGAAGATGCCTTGCCAAATGATGATCCAAATCCTTAAATATTCTTTGAAGAAAACGTTCAGAACCGTCGTCTGGTTAGTTACCATAACCGTTGTTAACCGCCCCAAAAGTTCTCTTCTATTGACACGTATGTCAACCGTTCTACTACGTCCGACCTTCAAAAAACCGTTCGCCAGTTGCAACTTCCTCTAACCGCCCCAGAACTGCTCTCTCACCCGACCTGCACATGCTACTTCACTTGGTCCGAACTTCGTATCACGTCCTGACCTCAATGCCCGACCTGCTTCTTCGCCCGACATCATTTGGGCCGACCTCCGCATCAGCCGCCCTTCGTCTTTGACCGACTTTAATTGGTCCGACCATGGACCAACCAAATGTGGTCCCTACCACGGACCAACCGACCGGCTCTATTTGCCTTATCTCTTTAGAAGGACAGACTGTCCTCTGGACAGACCTCCGCATCTGTTCGTACCTCTTCCTTGCCCGACCTTTCTCTTGACAAACCTTCGCGTCTGCCCGACTTCGTCTTTCACCCGATCGATGGTTTACCCGACTTGGGTACACCTTTTTTCAGACTCCGCCCGACCTTTCTTCCTTCCCGATCCTTGCATCTGTCCGATTGCACCCGACTTCTGGGTCATTTAACTTATATCCAGACCCGTCCAGAATCCCACTGTCATTATTTATTATTATTATTTTTTTGTGCTTAACATATATAATAAATAATTAGTCGAAAAAACCACATCCATCTATCCTACCTATTTTTCTACAAATATTAAGTTTGAAAAATAAAAAATAAAAAAAATATTATATAGGCTTTTAAATAGGTTCTTTAAAGTAGGCCAGACCTAGGCCTTACATATATATTTTATTAGGCTGATAGGCCAGACTCATGTTTTAGTTTTATAAAATAGTTCTGGCCTATTTAGCCAAAGTCTGGCTTAGCCTAGCCTATTTCCACCCCTAATCACTTATATTAACTTTTAATTAAATTCTTCATTAAAAAAAATTAATCTGCAGTCCCTTATTTAGTTTAACATTGATCCTTTTATTTTTTAAACATAAAATCCCATGAACTTTCAATCAGTTTGATATAAATTTGATATACCTTAATATATATTCAAATTCTTCAAATGTTATATTATATACTTATAAAATAATCCGTTCTACTTAGGGGTGGAAATAGGCCAGGCCAGGCCAGGCTTTGGTTAAATAGGCTTGGCCTGTCTTAAAAAGATATGGCCTGAGCCTGGCCTACCAGCCTGAAAAAAAATATTTTTAAAGCCTGAGCCTGGCCTTTTTAAAAGCCTGGCCTGGCCTACGAGCCTGTTTAAAAGGCTACATAATAATTTATTATTATTATTATTATTTTTTTTTTTGTAAATTTCGTACTATAAATAAAAAATAAAACAGATACAATTATTTATATTATATATAAAAAAATAAAAAATTCTGTTTTTTAATGACAAAAATAATCATTTTTATTGCCATATAAAAATACAATATATTATACTAATAATTTGCAAAAAAACGTATATTACAATTCATTCAAATATATATATAATTATTGGGAATAAGTCTTGCAAACTCCAGACAAAAGCTGATAGAAATTACTGCATAATGACATTAAAAAAAAAAAACAGTTTACATCAATCTATTGTCATTAAGCTGATTGTTCTAACAAAGAAATAAACAACGCTAACTCAGAAGCAATATTAAAAAATTCGACAAAAATATTTAGAAATTAATAACATAGTTTTTCAAGTTCACGTCACCCACAGGCCACAAGCCACAAGAATTGCAAATTCCCCCAAAGTTTCTTAAACCATTAAATCTGTTCAAGTACAAAAGTTGATCAAATTAGTATTATATCTGAAATTTCTTCCTTCTATATATAAATTACGCAAAGCATCAAAAAATTATATTAGAACAAAAAGAAAAAAGGAATATCTTACTTACCAATACAATAAAAGTTTCAAGAGAAAAATAGCAAATAGATCAATAATATCTTCTGGACATTAGCATTTCCACTCCTGAAATCAAAATTTAAAATTTCAGCACCTGCAAACCTATCCAAATATTTTTAAAAAAATAAATAAATAATTGTAATATCAAAACAACCACCTGCAAACCTATCTAAATATTTCAAACAATACATCCTGCAACAAATTTCAGAAAATCAAAGTTGAATCCTCCCAAAATACATCATGCAACAACAATATCTTACTAAAAAAATCAGATTTTCAAACAATTAATCTGTATAAAAAATTTCAGAAAATATTATAAATTTAAAACGTATCGCAACCAAAGTATTAAAGAACTTCTTTAATCTATAAGCTTATCTCCTTCAAAGACTCATTCACCTTCAAATGAGAGAAATATTTTTATTAGAAAAAAATATATTGTGGGTGATGAATAAGATAAAGAAAAGACAGTTAATAATAAAATTTACCTTCTTTTTTTTCAAGTTGTATTTATGTCGAAGCCAATCTCCTCCACAAATTAGTGTCTCAATAGATTCTTCATTCAATCTTGAACGATATTCATCTATAATTCTACCTCCAGCACTAAATGTAGACTCTGAAGCTACCGTTGATATTGGAATCGCAAGTACATCAGCAGCCATCTTCGATAAAACTTTATATTTCATGCTGTTGTTCCTCCACCACTCCAAGGCACAAAATGAAGACATATTTCCATCAGGAATATAAACACTGTCCTCGAGATAGGCATCCAATTCAGATTTTGATACAGGAATTGCTTCTTTTGCTCTTACAAGACTCATAATTTGATCAAACCCAGTAACTATCGCAAATTCAGATTGGGTGGTGGCAGAGGAGATGTTAGCCATATTGCACTGACTTGAGGATGATTCTTCAACACTTAAGGCCACATAATCATTATATAGTTGTTGCAGTGAAGCACGCACTTTGTTCACATACTCGGCAGCAACTTCTTCAGACTTGTATATCATTGGAAAACATATTTCAACACCATGAAATTTAACTCTCGGATCCAATACATTTGCAACAGCCATCAATAGATTGCACTCACCCCAATATTTATCAAACTTTTCTTTCATTTGCGTTGCCATTTGTATCATAAAAAGATCATCATCCTTTGTCGCATCATCAATTACTTGCTTCACTTTCCAGACCTCTGAAAGATACAAGTTGGCAGTAGGATATTCACTTCCAGATATTAAATTGGTAGCTAAGTTGAAAACCTCTAAAAGTTTACAAACTTTCTCGACTTTCTCCCAATCTTCATTTGAAGGTGCAAATGTATAATGAGGTTCTCTTTCTTGGTATTCTGAGAAGACAATCTTGAATTTTAAAGCAGCGGCTAACATGTGATATGTAGAATTCCACCTTGTTGGACAATCAATTATCAACTTCCTTTCTTTTAGATGCTTTTGTTCAACTACTTCACCAAAACTCTTCAATCTTGAATCATTGAAGTTTACATACTTCACACTTTCACGAACATTATGGATGATATCTTTGATTCGACTAAGCCC